AGTGGTTATTCAGGTTGTCTGTCTCTGCCTGTGTTAGTTTTGCTAACTTGTTCTTCAAGGAATTGATTGATTTCACTTTGGTTCCCAGATTTGGGAGCATAGAGTTGTCTATAATGTCCCTTTTTATCTTTTCAATGTTCATGGATCAATTATGATAACTCTTCTTTGATTTCTGATATGGGTAGTTTTTGTTTTCTGTCCTTTCTTAGTTAGCCCAGAGGCGTATTGATTGTATTGATCTTTTCAGAGAACAAGCCTTTGGTTTCACTCAATTTTTTGTATTATTTTCAGTGTCAATTCATACCATAAAAATTTTTTTATGCTTGCAATAGGCTTATATAGCCATTTCTCACCTTTCCTTTCCATAGATAAAAACTTGGACTATTGGTTTTTAAATTTTTTTAATAATACATACTTTACAGTGCCATAACTTTCTCTCTAGAAACTGCTTTTACTACATCCATTAATTTTGATAAGTATTTTTATTATTATCTCAAAATATTTAAAAATTCCTCTTGAGATAGTTTTGGATCCATGTATTTTTGAGAATTACACTGTTCAAACCCCAAACATTTTGAGATTTTTGAGCTTTCTGTTATCGATTTCTTATTCCACTGTGCCTTGGGAAAATGCTTTGCATGGTCATTCTTATTTTATATAGGTTACGATGTGATTTATGGCCAAGAATGTAGTCTATCTTGGTAAATGCATTACATGAGCAAGAGAAGAGTATATATTCTGCTGCTAGACTGACTATTCTGTAAGAGTCAACTGTAGCAAGTAGTTTCATAATGCTGTTCAGGTCATATGTATCCTAACGTTTGTCTGTGAGTAATATAATTGCTTAAACGTCTTTCCTTTCTTACACTATATTACACTACATCTTTCTACTTTGGTTGCATTTTTAAACACAACTTCCTTTTGCCTCTCCTTCACTCTAGAGGCCATTTTTTCTCACTTAGAGTATGTGCCACTTTGTTTTATTCCTTTATCAAGCAGGTAGTAAATTCGTATCTTGAAGGTGTTATGTTTCCGTAACACCACAATGCACCTCAGGGAAGATGTTAGTGCAGAAGTTGAACGGATGTTGATTAACTGAAAGGGACCAACAGGACTCCCGAAGTTGAGAACAGCAGCATTCCAGCATACCTTGAGAGTGCCAGTTTGAAAGGCTGATGAGTGTTAATGAACATCTCTGGGAGTTTTATTGTCAGAGAAGGAATCATATTGACTTTTCTAAAACAGGGTCTTTCTATTTAATTCTTGAGACTACTGTAACAAAGTACCACAAACTAGGTGACTTAAAACAAAAGAAATTTATTCTTTCACAGCTCTGAAGCAGAGAAACCCCAAAGTACCTGGTACCAATCAGCAAGATCATGCTCTATCTGAAGTCTGGAGGGAAGGATCCTCTCTTAGCTTCTGATGGTTGCGAGCTCCAGTACCCCTTGGCTTGTAGCAGCCACGTAACTCCAAGTTCCACCTCTGTCATCACATGGCTTTTTCCCTTGTGAGTTTCCTCTGTGCTTATCTTGGTCTCCTTACAGGGATGCCAGTCTTTGGATTCAGGGTCTACCCTGACACTATTAACCTCGCTATTCCTCTAATTGGGTAATGAAAATCACCATTAGGTACAGTTTATCATGGCCTCTAACTTCCTCCCAGGAAGCTCTCCCTATACATCTCCCAAACCCACAGGAAATCCACCCAGAGGGAAGATGGAACCCAAAGCAGACGCTCACTGTCCTCGCCCCGTGTGGCCACTTTCCTCTTCCGTCCTGCATTTCCCCAGTCACCAACCTCAGTGGGTCACAGCATATAAATCTCTCAGGTTCTCATATATTCCATTCATACTTTTCTTTTTGGAAGAGGAAAAATACTTTTATTTTATCTGATAACCAAAATATGATAAGCAATCCTATTAGTTCTTTAAGAGTATTCAGAATGAATGGAAATGCAATTTAGCAGGCACTTTCTGGGGCTGTGCTAACTGGAATCAAAGGCTGGTCACCACGGCTGGTAAAGATGTTATCTTGGAGTGGCTGTGCAGTTGCACCTTTCTGATCCAGCAGGTAAGTGCTTCCTACTTTGTCTGCTTTTCAGCAGGCCCTACTTGCCAACAGCCTATTTGTGTGTTGGTAAGCAGAATACTCGTTACAAAGAACAGTGACTCTCTGGCAATATTACAACATGTTTTAGAGACTATTTGCTGTGGATAAAGTATGTTCCTGTACATTTCATCCCTTGTCTTTATCTTCAAAGGTTTCATTCTATGATTTTTAATGCTAATGTAAGATAAAAATACCATTTTGTAGTTGTTTGGATCAATAAGCTTCTTGGAAAAAGAACAGTTGCTGAATGACAAAGGGAAAAGATTATTTCATTTTATTACCTAGCTCTACTGCTGCTATTTCACAAGTATTGATATTTAAGTGGGTTCTAAATGGGAAAAGAGTCATAGCAGGGAGCCATCCACATACCTACTGAGAACTTCAAATTATGTAACTTTCATTGTTCTGGTTTAAAGAAAAATCAGATTTGATCGATGTTTTCTAGCTGCTCCAATGGGTAAAATATATTTCATTTCACCCAGTTCTTATTGTGCTAACAGGAAATATATGCATACAAACATTCTTATTTATATAGCTCTTTTGGCTCTCTTGTTTTTAAGGAGGACAGAATTTTACTTTTACGGTACAAAAAGTAGAATCCAAGGAATCAGATTTGCCAAGAGTTTGTTTATACAGACAAATTTACTATCAAGCAAAAAGAAGAGCTAGGTAGCCAAACACTGAAACTCTAAAATCAAAGCCTTGCTCACTGGAAGGAATGGGACACATCCAGCTTTCCCCATTCAGGCGGCTCCTGATGTTATGGGATCTCTCACCAACCCAGAATAGAAGTGTGAGGACTCATATAAAAAGGTCAAATTAGCAGCTTTATGTTTGCGATCTTAGGGTTGAACTAATGCACAACGGACAGCATTCAAATCTCATCTCCTGTGATGAGAGCAGAGAAAACGATTTGTTATGCTTTAACCAGGACACTGTTTCATTTAGTGAATGCAAATCTTTTGGCTTTCTGATGCAGCTCAAGATTCTGCTTGTTATACATGGAAAACAGTCTGTTGTGCTTTGGCATCTGCATTGATATGCATAATGTCAGAGCATACTGGAAGAAGATATTTTATTTTGTTTCTACTAACTTCATGGCTACATTTAAAGTCTTGTATGTAAGAGAGGAATGTCAAAAGCTTCAGATGGTAAATTTTAGTAAGAAATTGTCATGAATAAAGACAAGCATAAAGCAAGACAAGATACAATATTCTTTCCTTCTTTCATTTGGAATTCATATACTCTGAAATCTTGGATTTGGCTTTTTTAATATTTACAGTTATGTATGAAATACTGGTTTCAAGTAAGATCTGCTCAGATTACAGATCCCCAGCTACAATTAAATATTGATAATTTATGTGGCGCTCTAACAAAACACACAAATTCTGGTTCTGGCTACTGGGATTTAGTTCCTAATAGCAGATGAACCCACTTTCCACTTACATCTGGCATAGGCGATGTCTTAACACACCTGATTTAAAATGCTGAAACCATGATCCCGGGCTTTTCCTCTTCCTTCTCTGCTATTATTTTGACTTCAGGAGCTAGGATCTTTTTCTAAGTTTAAATTTTTCAATCAGGATCTATCGTAAAGGGACTAGGGGTTCTCATGTACATTTTGTAAATTAAATGGGACTATTTCATGTGTGTGCTTGACTAGATCTTGATTCTGACAGACCCATATCCGTAAGAAGAAAAAATAATTTTTGTCTCTTCACATTCTTCTCAAATTCCTCTACAGAGAGATTTTTAAAAACACACATACAAAAGTTAGGTTTGTTTTTCTTCACCTCTGACAATTCAAGTTAAAAAATATTTATTGAATGTGATTAGGTCTTAGGCACTGGGAATGTAGCAAACAGGGCTGTCATGGATCCTGCTGATAAAGATTTCAGAGTCTAGCAAGAGGAGACAGCTGCTCAGACATGCAATTATGGTGCTGTGTGTTACAGTTTGTGTATGGTGTAGGTGCTGACAGTACACATAGCAGGAACATCTACGGCAGCCCAGGAGGGCCAGTTGGATTGCTGGTGTCTTGAATGGAACCAGAGGGTAAGTGAGAGTTGAATCACAGCAAGACAGGGTAGAATATAGGAAGGGAACCTAGAAGGAAGGAATGGAGAGAAGAAAAGTGCAATAGCTTAAAAACATGAAGCTAAATGTCTTAATAAAGGGAGAGCCAACCGAAGCAACTTAACAAAACCATTACAAAATTTGAAAAAAAGAAGGGGCTGGGGATGTACTTCAGTGGTAGGGTTGCTGCCTAATCATTCCCTTTATGCCCCAGGCTCTGGGTTCAATCTCCAGCACTGCAAGGAAAAAAGAAAAAAGAAATCCCAGAAAAAGGAAACTCATACTTACGCTTTTAAAATTCAAATATAATCAGAATAATAATTTTGTAGCCTATTCTTCACAGAAGTGTGAATAGTCAATCAATAGCCCAGATGGATAAATAAGTACATATAGTTGAACTATATCTTAAATATCAGCATAGGACTCTCCTCCGAGTATTTGAGCTCAATTTACATATGCATACTTACCTGCATATCTTATGTGTCTTAGGTGATCATACATTTAGAATGGATTTATATCTTATCCTGTTCCCCAAAGGATTAACATTAACTGGAGTACCACAGATAAAGCAAACCAGTGATTCCTGGGCCTTTAAAGTCCCCAAACTCAAAGTCAACCATGTGATAAAAGTAAGAAGATCTCACCAGGTGAATAAGAGATTGAAAGTGTGAAGAGAGAGAATTGGTTACCTTTCTCGTCCCTCCTTTAGACATTAGCTTCCACATGGGCAATAACAGTTAGATAAAATATGCAAACACTTGAAATGGATAAAAATAATAAGAGTGTTAAAAGACCATAACTTTCTCTAGAATGTTGTATATATAAGCATTTAATAGGTTTTTGACAAAATTTGGAAGAAAAGTAAGAATTTTAATTTTCTAAATAAATTGAATATGTAGTACAAGAGAGAACTCGTCAACTTTTTACTTGACTAGGTATCCATACCTTCAGGTAACATCCAGTAACTTTCTAATATCAACTTGAATACATTACATTTAAATATTGTGGTTATTTGTAGACAGTCTGCAAGCAATATAATTAATTACCCTCATCAAAAACCTGTGATGAATTATTCTTTCAACTAAAGATTTTGCCCTACCATGACAGGCTATGTTAAAATATTAAAAAACAAACACTTCCCTCATTTAAAAAAAATTGAAAAGATGATCTTTTTTGAATAATGAATTTCAAGAAAAGTATAGGTCATTTTTCAGTATTACAATGATAATTGTCAAAAGGCCAGAATTCACCTTTTACTATCTTTTTACGTATTTTTCTCTAGAACATTCTAAATGTATCCTCCTGAGTTTAACTTCAAGTCTTTGAAAAGGATATAGTTGTAAGAAATTAGAAAGGAATTTATCTCCGATTCAGAAGATCATTTTCCCTCTAGAAACAGTTGGAAATTATATATTAACAGTACTCTTTCAATTTAATATTCTAAAGAAACAGCAGACAGAGAAATAATGGGCAGTAGGCCAGTGTGACGACAAACAATATAGTTACTTTTAGCCTTTAAAGAATGTTTTCCATTTTCCAAATCTTTACAAGACATGACATGACAAATTTTAATTGCCCAAGAGGTAGATGATAAACCCATTTCCCAGATGGGAAACTGAGGCAATGAGATGCCTTGCCACATACTATGAAAGTGGTCAGCAGCATGACCAAGATTAGAGGCAAGAGGATCTGATTGCAGCTGTATACATGGATAGACAGAACATCAATGGAATGACAGGTATAATGTTGGTCCATTCCTGCACCTCCTATTTCCTCTTGCTCTATAAAATGTGGATCTGATGGAAAATTGAAACTTCTTTTACAGTTGATGGCACATCTAGTCTCCAGTGTCAAATTTGTGAAATCAACAAGAGGAAGGACTATTTACAACGACATTCTCAGACTTAGGAATGTAGTCTACGTTGAAATGAAATTACATAGATTGCATTTCAGTAAATGAGATCAAGACAAGAAAAGTAAAATTAAAAGACAGCTAATGTAATATTGAAAATCACAACTTCATCTCAATAGTTCTACTGTTATGCATTGAAAAGAAGTTGTTTGTGAGTACAATTAAAAGTAAATTGTCAAACAATTGGATATGAAAATTAGCTCACACCTCTAACCTGATGTCAATACTTATCAGCCTGTCCTCAGATGAGGAGGGAATAAGCATATTATAATTTTGCTGCATATTACAGTGGATACATCTCTTTCTAGAGTACAAAAATATGTCCTTATCCACAGCACACCATTTACCAAGATCCTCAATTAAACAAGTCGAAGAAAATGTAGCATTTTTCCATCTGGTAGAGGTATTAGCCGAGCAAGCAAGATGGCCAGAGTGCAGGTACATTTGTGGGGGCTGCTCTGTGGGAAGTGCTGAAAAATAACCAACTGTATCATCCCGGAGGCTCAAAAGAATGACGTCCCTCGATGCCAATAACAGTTACTGTGTGAGTAGCCAGTACATGAGGGACACACTGACATAGATGACACACAGCGTTACCCAGTTCATTCTTGCGATGGGTGGCCTGAGGTTGCCTGTCACGTGGAGGATGACACCGGAAGAGAGAGTGCCACTAGAATTTTGGGCCCTTGCCACGTAGAGGCCGGCGTCCGCCCCGCGTACCTTCGGAATGAACACTGAGTGCTTTGTCTCCTTGTGTAAAACCTGTAAGTGCCCATCTGCAGACAATTGCTGGCCCTTCTTGTACCTAAAGCAGAAAGTCAGTTTTGAAAGTCAGGATCACGCCTTTTCCATATCATTTCCAAGTTCTAACAGTTACTGCACGTAGGATCGTGACTGCTGCAGTCTTCTCCAGTATTAGAACTTCCTGGCTACCACAGAGTGCTACGAGGCTGTTTATTTTTCAAGAAGAGATTGGCAACTAACTGGTAGCCAGAGAAGTTCCTTGATGGGCTCAGATTATGTTTTTGAAAAATTAAATTTTTGACTACACTTAAAATTTGGAGTATTATATATGAAAATTCAGATATTCGGCTCTTCTTTAAAAGCTGGACCATCTGATCCTACTGCTGTAGTAACCGTTCCCTAGCGGATGAAATGGCACCTCATATTCAGTCTGCCTCATTCTTTCTGCCGCCATGGCACAGCAACTGTGACGCCATCTTAGAATCTGTGCTGGGGTGAGACGCATCTGCCCCACATCCACACATCACAGAAGTGCTGTGTCGGAGGAAGCTATTTATCTACAATTTCCAGGTAAAGTGACTTCACTTCATTTTTGTGAATTAATTTCATGAGAAGATGTCTTCTCACTATGAAAGGCATTTATACAATTAGATTTTGACTGATAATGTATTTGTGAAAGTTTCCTACAGATATGAACACTAACTTAGATCTTTATATAAAACAAGTAATTTATTCCATATATTCTAGGTTGTCATATGTTTATTTATTTAGGTCAACTTTCTCCCATACAAGGACTGATGGCAAATCTGAATAAATTTTTTTGTTTTCATTGCCTAAGTGGTGATTCTGCATTTTTCTGAGTGCCCTAAGATTGTATGGCTCCTCGAAGCTTGTCAGCTGCTCATTGAGCAAAATTGTCCTAAATCGGATGATAGCATTCTTTCACAATTTGCAATAGTTCTTCAACTATACATGGACTACAGTGGTTCTTCAGTGACATACTCACTGATTCATTGTGTGCATGAAAACAAGAAACACTTCAGACAGCATTTTTCTTTGGGATGAATTAATATTTAATAATGAATTAAATATCCTTTGTATAAATACAAAATTCTTGATTTGTAAAAAACATGCAATTGTAGAAAATAACAAAACAAAACAAAAAAGCATAAACCTTGCACCATATACAAGTGCAATTTCTCCTACTAATTTGAAAATCCAAAGTTTTCTAGTAAGTTCTTTGGGTAACTGGTTCACACTTCAAGTACCGTCCATGTGCGCACACAATAATTAAAATGGTTAATTTATTATCTACTAAAATATCCTGATAAATAAAAGATAGTTTCCTTATCTGAGTTCCTAAGTATAAATTTGCTGTCGCATATTTCTTTTATTTTGCCCTTAAATCCATTTAAGGACAAAAAATTTTGAAAGGTTCAAAAGCAACTCTTGGGGCTGGGGGTTAGCTCAGTGGCACAGTGCCTGCCTGGCAAGCACAAGGTTGTGAGTTCGATTCCCGGTACCAGAAAAAAAAACAAAAACAGCAACAACAACAAAAAAGCAACTCTCATAATGAGAAAGTTAGAACTGTTTTGCTGTCAACAATCACAGGTCATTTAAAACCTGTAACCTACAGTTTATTTGCATTAAAACAAATAGGCTAAATAATGATGTCTCAGGAGGAAAGTCATATTGTTCACAGCTCACTAATTACACCACCTTTCAAAATTAGCTTGTTATCTGTCACCTGGAGCAACTGTGAAAAAAAAATATTTTTGTTTCACCTCTCGCATTGAAGGAATTTATAAAAAGAAATCTTAATAAAACACAGAAGTACTACAATGGTGGCATGTGTGATTGTGTTGGAAAGAGAGAAGAAATGATTCGAATAGGTAAATGAAATGACAGGGGAAACTCCAGATATTTTTAAATTGCATAAAGGGAGTTAAAACAAGAGCATTTCATGCTGATGTAGAAATAGACAACAGGGAAATTTTTCAACCCATCATTGCTGAAAATGAGGAATGTTAATCGGAAAGAAAATCAAATGCAACTAATTTCCAGTGCTCTCGGAGGTGGTTAAATGATTACTGCAAGTAGTAACTTTTCTTTCTTAAAGGTATGACCCATGCTGTTATGCAAGTGGGAGCTGGAGCGGGCTGTGGGACTGGGTCAGGCAGAGTTGCAAGGTCACAGAGCGTTAGCAGCGAGCCCTGCGCCTCTAAGTTAGTGCACACAGAATATGCTCCCTGGCTCGGTTTGTTTCTGTTTATGGCTTGTCGTTATAGGCTACCCACCATGTTAGTGTAGGCTCTGGAAATCCTGTTACTTCAACTTCCAAAGTCACTGGAGAACCTTCTGTGACCGTTACATTGGACAGGAGCCTGGAGAAATGAGGTGCCTGGCCAGCTAGGCTGACCACGCTGTTCTTTGTTGACGTGCTTTTCGCCTCTTCTGCGGGAACCGTTTGCCTCTGTAAGCCTGGGCTGCTGTCTGCTTGAAAGCCGAGGTCCCAGAACACATCAGGGGCAGCATGCAGCCTATCTTGGGTTTTAGTGCTGTTACTACGGCCATGCATTTTCTCCTGTGTTTCTAGCGAGCTTCCCTGAGCCTGTGGGTGCTTCTGCAAAGCTCTGTCATGCACGTCACCCGGCATGCTCTCTGGCTGCTTAGCACCGATTTTGTGGAAGGCAGTACTGCTTTCCGGAAATCCTCCGGAGGTTAATGGGGGTTCAGCTTTGAACTGGGGGTAAGGCCTCTCAAAGTGACTTGAAAATGTTTCTCTCTTATTGTATGCATTAGCAAAAGTGACAGGTGGTGGAAGCACAGATTCCTGGGCCTCCCCTGGGCCGCAGGTCCTGGACTGTATGCTGGAGCTGCTCGCAGGAAGGCTAGGGGCTGAAGGGCTGGGGGGCTCTTCCACCTCCATGTCTGATGACAGTGCAAGGGGGGACTCAGGGCTTCCGGGGAGAGGAGGCAAGGAGATGTCGTCAGGAGAGACACACTCAGATTCTTCTCCTGACAGCATATCTTCGGGCAGCAGCAAACCCTGGACGCCACCCTCTTTGGCAGAGGACAGCCGCCTCAGGTTCTGTGGAAGCCCATCTTCGCCTGTCCCGCTGACGGCCAAAATGTCTGCCCCATGCGCTTGTCCCTTCAGAAGAGGAAAACAAAGCCCATTAGTCGTGCCCTTTTCTTTTTCCAGGTTCCAACCAGAGTGAAACTCAACTTGAGGGAGACAGTTTGAGAAAATCAAGAGTTAAAAGCTCAGGAAGCTGTCCCTAGTAGTACTGAGCTTGAAACCACCTGTCCCTGTAACCTGGAACGGCCGCATCCCGTAATTAAACTGACCTCAAGGCTCAAGCGTGAAATCGGATAGGCCTTGGGAATGGAAGGAAACAAGCCTGGTTTTTATCTGCACTCTCTGCGCTGGCTCATCACAGTCTTTCTCCCCATTATGTGAGGAGTCTCTTCACCAATAAATTCAGCTTTGATCAGGTTTATTTGTTTACTTGTCACGTGACCGCACAGTTCCTAAACTTTAGAGACCTCTCACTAAATGATACATCAGACCCTCCCAGAAAAACCTGTCTCTAGCAAACCAGTCGTTCTTTTTAAAAAATTGTGATGTATATATATCATAAAATTTACCATTTGAACCTTTTTTAGGTACACAGTTCAATGACATTATGTGTGATCATATTGTTGTGTCACTATCACCACCATCCATCTCCAGAACCTTTTCATCTTCCCAAACTGAAACATGGAAGCCAGAAAATAATAATTCTGTATTCCTCCATTTCCAGTCTGACACCCATCATTCTACTTTTTTTCTCTATGAATTTTCCTACCCTAGGCACTTCATACAGAGAAGACCATTCTTAATGACTGGTTTTATTTATTGAACACCTACTATAGACAAGGCATCGTGCTAAGCACTGGAGGGGATATGATATGCTGAGGAAGTGCAGACACATGCTTGTGTGTGGGTTTGATAGCAGACTGCGGGAAGGTGATATTAATGCAGCAATCACACATCACAGCCTTTTACAAGACAGTGCACCAGTGTACAGGGAGGAACACCTGCCACCTTCCTCTCTGCGTTCCCTTCCTGCTTACACTGTCCTGGTCTTTCTTCCCACTAATCCATGTCCATTTCTGCCTTAAGAAGAGGCTCAAATTTCCCTTCTGGAATAGATGCAAAAGAAGACTGAAACTGAAAGTGATCTCATGTACCTCGTGTCTCTATTTTCTACCTACTTCTGTGTTTCTGCTTAGCATTTGGGATGCATTTTACTTCATTAGCATAAACTAGTTTCTGTCCTGTAGCTTCTACCCAGACATAGGAAAGTCATGACTTGCCTTAACTTTGAGCTCTTCCTTTGAGCCCATAGTCCTGCTCTTGACATATACTTTATACCTTATTTTGAGAAAATAAATGTGTCTTTAGGTTTAAGAGTAGAATCAAAACAATACTCCCTCTCCCATTCCACAGAGATGAGCCTCCCTTAGAGAGAAAGCATAGGGAAAGTGGTTTTTTTGAGTCATTTAGTAGAAGTTTAAATTCTGGGTATAAAATCCAGAAGTTCTCAGAAGTCACTCTCATTCAAAAACAAATTACCAAATAAATACATGTCTAGTAAAGAATAGCCTTGTTTTTTTGGTTTTCCTAAAATAGCTTAGCCTAGTCTCTCATCTCTTCTTGTAAGTAGAATGTTTATTTTCCTTCTCATAGGTGCTTTGATCAAACTGCCTATTCAATATAAGAATATCTTCTAGAATATTCTGGAAGCTTCTATTTGGACTCTCTGACAAGAATGATTGCTTTGAGAATTTTGTGATTTACTAATATTGAGATTATATTATATTTAGCAAAGGCCTGCCTTCATGCAATTTCCACAAATGGGTCTGACTTGTATTCCTGCAGCTACGTAGAGCAGTTCAACTCCTATTTTTAATGGCTTTTTGACTATTTAGAGAATTGGTTTTACAACCTTAAAACTTCTATCTTTGTACTGTACACCTCAAAATTCTGTCTCAACAACCATAGCTAACATCCCGGTCACCTTAGGGAGGGCTGATTTGTATAAGCTCAGACATTTATTGACTTAAAGGTCAACCAAGGACAGACAACTCCTTAATGATACTTTTATAACCTATGTCTTTTCACAGAAGAATAATGCTTTAAACTGTCTAAAATGTACAAGTTTAATTGAGAAACTTGAATAAAACTCTAGGCCAGTCTCCTCACTCTTTCTCAGTCCTTGTTGGAACGAGTTTACTTAATTGAGAGTTTAGAAGAAGGGACTAAGCGCACTCAGCTTTGTCTGTCAAGGGCCTCCCTTTTTGGCTTTCCCTTCCACCAAATGGATGTGCTCAGGTTTGTTCTAAGGAATGGACCCCCTGTAGGGGATTTCTGTGGTTGCCTAGCTATGTACCCAAGTGACTAGGCAGGCAAATCTATCTACACCCGGTGTAAAGTTTTGGGAAATCCCCTAGAGAAGCCCAAGCCTATCATTCAATCCAGTTTTTAGTACTAATGATTCTCAGCTCCTGTATCTTACTGTCATAGTTGGTGCCAAATGTAATAAGGGAATCCATGGATACAAATTTTTACTTCTTAGAATTTCTAAAATAGAAAACATATTTTTTCACAGAAAAGAATGGTACCAAGTAATTTCTACTAATAAGAGAGATCACAAATATTTTCTCAAATATTTTTTTCTGGGGACATTTCAATGTATTCATTAATATTCCCTTCTTCATGTTTGGTTCTAGAGTTTATTTACTTTCCAGAGCTTAAGTAATCAGTAGAATCATCATCTTCTTGATGTACATGACATGATTTTATTGAAATGTTATAGTCATTCTTTTTTTTTGTTTGTTTATTTTTACAAGAACCACAGGAGAACATTTAGTAAGTTAAAATATTCTATCTACTGTGTCCATTAATATCATTGATACCAATGCTGGACATTACAGAATTTAGAACAAAGCTCGAGTTTCTTTAAGGTAAACAGGCTTTCAGCTTAAAATTGATGAACCACTTAGCACTTGTGGGTACAGTTATAACCTGACCAAACCTAAACTCAGTTCCCATTTCTCCCTTTATGTTAAGAGAGAGAACCTGAGGGTATTTATCCTATGACTTCCTGAAATCATAGTAAATTGTGCCAATGGCACAAACCTAGAATTATCCATTAAGTAATCATCTCAACAAGCAAAAATAAGGTGAGTTTAACAAAGTCTTTTTTCTAAGTCCACTTGGCTTAACACTTGAGCTTTCTTTCTCAAATGCAAATGAGTGGTAAATTTTTAACTCATTATAGAATTTTATACTAACTACATTAAAAACTCACTGAGCTTTAGGTTCCTAGATTCATATAGTGTTCATCTATGAAAAAGTATCTAGATATTGACAAATATTAACAATATTTTCTCACATTTCCACCATGAAATCATCTTTACTGTTAGAAAAAAAAATATATATATATATGTGTGTGTGTTACCATTAAAGGGATAAATAAATCTACATAACTCAGTACACATAAGACATATTTGCATCAGTCTGATATGTTCTGGTAAAATAGCTGGTCTAATTCTGATCTAATTCAGCAGCTCACAATTCATCGCTTATATTCTTCACCACTTTCTTTTGTCAATTCTCCTATCTTTTTCCAAATTCAAAACCTACATATTTGTCATGATTTCTGAACTTTAATTTTCACCAAGGGACAATCAGATGCACTTACAATAATTGCCATGTAGGCAGACAAGGACTGGGAGAGAGAGCACAATGACATTCTACACCCATCCAACTAAGTGGGCAGAATCAATCCTCAGAGTAAATTCAATGGGGAGCCAGCTATGCAGCAGATTTGAAGGAAGATCACAAGAATTCATCTTCCAAAACATCTCCACAACAGAGAGTCTAACTTTAGGATTAATAATGTTTAATAAAGATGAGCTGGGAGTAAACAAAGATATTGGGCATAGGGCTTGATCCTACAGAAGCTGCATTGGGAGAAGACCCTCAGAGAGAGCTATGGAACCCAAGAGGTGACTTTTGGGGCCCTTGAGTAGGGGAGATTGCAATGAAAGAGAGAAGGGAATATAAATGTGGCAAAGAAGAGCCTGCCTAATTTGGTCCTGCCTAATTTTTTCCCAAGGCAAGTGTCTCTACAACAACTTCCTGCACCTACCAGGATCAGAATTAGTGCAGGAGGGCCAGGGACTCTCCTCATTAATAGGATAGAAGCACTCTACAGAATTGTTTGGTACAAAAGACTTCCATGGTCTTGCTTTATTAACCTTCAGAAACAGATGGACTGACAGAGAGGAAAGTTTTGGTACAAACAGCTACAATAGCATCACAAACCAGCTTATTTATATGCAGCAGTTCCTTGGACATCCCCTTTGGTCTTGTGGAAAAGGTACCTGGCTGAAATTCAAAACCGGGCAGAGAGCCCAGTTCTGACACTATTTCCTGAGATTTTTGGAGGGCAAAATATTTAATCTCTTTTGGCCTCAGTTTCCTCAACTGTAAAATGAGATTTGATCAGATGATTGTTAAATCGCTTGTAGCACTGAAATTCTATAACTCTAACTGCCGGTATCAAAACCTCTCATCTTCCACCACATAGTTCTATGACTTCAGGCAAGTCTTTTAATACTCTGTGCCTCCACTTAACCTTAGGAGTTTTCAGCTATTACTGTGGATTTAGCTTTGGCACCTACCTTAAGGATGAAATACCATCACTAATCCATTCGCAATACTACATACATTGCACAGACTGAATTGTCTTGTAATACCTGCTGCATTCGGGGGTCAGAAAAATGAGAAGCACTGCTATTTCCAGGAGAAAATTCCTGTGATAAATATATTCTTGTAATAGTTTGGTAGAACTGTTCCTTTGAACTCAAATCATTTTCAGAAGAAGATTCGCACTATTTAAGGGTATCAGAATTGAATGTAATAATTCATGGACAAGCTTTTTACTTGATATTTCTTGTTATGTGCCACATGGTGTTTTTGAGAATCATTACATCTGACCTATATATACATAATGGAGACAATAAGAGGGTAAATGTGATTGAGCTGCTTAAAAGCAGAGATTACTGTTACCCTTTCATTATGCTGTCTGTACCAATTGCACCAGAATGTGTACATGAAATGATGTCAATGATAATTCTTGACAACTATAATTGTGGATCTTCACTTTCACTCTAAATGTCTGATGGTCTATCATATCTTAAAATTTATGTTAAAATAAAAGTTATTTTTCAATGAAAATAAACCTTACTGCTTGTATTTAAAGATTTGATTTTTTTCTCATAAGAAAATAAGTAAAAGCAAGGAAAAAACATTTTTATTAAGTATAAATTACTGTTTGTTGTTTAGTAGCAGCAACTTCTAAGATTTTATAAAATGTATCCACTTCGTAGTGTATGAAAATTCACAGAATAAAATTAAATATGATGTTGGATGTAGAACTCTAAGAAACTTAGTTAAGAGTATGTAGTATATATTTAATACTGTCCTTTATTATTTCAACTAGTTGTTTTGGTTCTCAGTTCGGGTTGGTTTTAGAGGACATTTAGTCATGTTTATAGGCATGTTTTTTATTGTCACAAATGGGGGGACTGGTGGTACTATTAGTACATGGTGGCTAGCAGCCAGGAATGCTAATAAATATTTTAGAATGCACAGGACAGTCCTCTTAGCAGAAAAGTCTCTGGCCAAAATGTTAATAATGCCAAAAACATTAGACCATACCGACCAATGACCACTGAATGTTATACTAAGACCCAACAAGATGACCAAGGCTGGACAGCTTTCCTTTGACTTAGAGAGGAACCAAAGTTTAAGAGGCTCAAGATTGCACATAGAAAAGGACAGTTTCCTTAATGGTACTTGCTGCCGGGACTGTATAATTGCGCTGGATCTGGATACAGATTTAACGTGTGGAGAAGGACCTCTGAGGAAGCTATAAGAACTGTCCTGACTTCAAGGGAAGATAAATATTTCTCCATGAATGAACTGCAACAAACAGGAACAGGTTTGTATACTTGTTTGGGGGAGTTGCATATGCATGCATGTATGTATATCAATAAAATATTACAGGAAGAAAATTTTATGAATTTGGGAGCTGATGAGTATCATGTTGAATCTGCTGCTATGCTGGTAGAGAAATACTGAGAAAAGGCAAGTTGCAAAAGCAAAAAGTCAAGTGCCAATTATAGTTCAGCAGCTACAACCAAAGAGGGAACAGAGTCTCCAAAGTTCATAAAGATGTTGCATTGCACTTTAAATGATACTTTTGAAACTATGACACATTTGTTTTGTGAATATTTGTAGTTTTTACTGCATGTTTTAATTTATTGGTAAATGCTTAAGTTTTCAAGTAATTTAAATATTTCTCTAAATTCTTTAACATTTGAATTTCAGCTAGATTCTATGTTTTAGTAGAGGTGCCTAGAAATATTATCCAGTGGTAGATTCTCTGGGAGTAATATAGAATCTAATTTCATGCACTGAGGTTTTCCAGTAGATAGTGTAAAGCTATCACTTGGCAGTATGATAAAGGGAAAGAAGTAAAAAGATCAGACATAAAAGGATAATAGAGGTGGGAGAAACAGAAATGGACGGGACAACATTATGGTGTTTACATGGATATCCCCTTGCATTCTGAAGTGCTACTGTTCTAGTATTCTGTAGGAAGGACTCCCAGGGAAATAGGAGAGAAAGGGACTAAGTAAGGATACATAAAGTGTTGGGGATTAGGAAATTCACATTGAAATATATTGTGGAATTTGATTTGGATAGATGAAAAGGACTCAACTCACCTTTTCCAGTGCACAATGACTAAAAACAAAAGTAATGTCTAGATGAAGTCAAGTAATTTTATTTACCTCATTAATTTCTTCAGTAAATACCATCTGCTTAGTTTTCACTGGCTCCTTTAGTAGATCAGCACAGTTGCTGTGAAAGTCTTCCAAATTTGAATTCATCTTTAGAGTATCTGCCTGCTGTACAAAGCAATAGTTCATGAAAGCCTGGGTCAGGAACACTGGAGCAACAATACCATACATTAACTTCTTGGAGGAAAATAGAAGCCACTTACAAATTCTCAGGAAATATTTTCTATAAGAGATGAGTGCAATTTAGAGAATTATCTCCCCAAGCTCACAGTTCCCCTCCTGCCTTACTCCTTTTATAGAGTTCATTGCCAGTAAAAATGGATTGTTCAAAGGCCCAGCAGGAAAAGAAGTAATTGTTACAACAGGATGCTCTCGCTTGAGCATTCTCTGGAGATGACAACCACTGAGCATGGCAATGTAAGCCGCTGGGAGAGTCTGAGGAGCAGCAATGAGGGAGGGATGATTAAATGTCTCTGGATTTCTCTGGAGAAAAAAGAAGGAAATCCAGAGAACCCACACAAGCAATCTGTTTGGGAGACTCTTGAAAAGAGGACGGAAATATCACTGAGTCTAGTAAAGAAAAACAGCAATTGAGAACACGAGTGATGATATCTTTTTCCCGTATTTCACGAGGCTCAGCACAAGCCAGAGAGGTTGTGGGGGAGGGGGTGCAAGCTGCTGTAGAGCTAAAAAGATTTTGCAAAGGTGAATTGAGCCACTGGTATTCCCAGTGACAGAACAAATCAGTTTATGGTGATTATAGTCCAACAGGAGAGTCTGTATACTATCTGGAACATATCCATGAGATAGATCAGAAGACCACAAGGAAAGAGGCATACTCACCAAAGGGCATGTGCTATGTTGGCTCCAAGGATCTAAGGAGACAGTGCTGGGGAGATTTAGCTTTTAATCTCAACTCTATAGCTAAACTGGTTTGAATTACTGGATGAGTCACTCTGATTTAGTACACACTTGATACATTATACCATAAAGGCAGCTGTTATACAAAGAACACTAGATTTTGAATTAGAGATAAGTTCAAATTCCAGATCCACCACTCCCTCTGGGGTCCAAGGAAAGCATTTTTACCCTATTGAGGACTGTCCCTTCACATCTAAAACTAGGACAGCAATACTTGTCTTGTTTCCCTTTCCAGGGTATTTGGAAATCACTGGATATAATTTATATAAAATATTTTACAGAGATCTAATTACTATACAAACAAAAATTATTTTTCTTTTAGCCATGACTGGGATTTTTGAGTCTACTTTAGTAATGCCTGCAAAAGAGATCCATACCACCAAACCGGGAAAAACTATAAAAACTGGACATTTATGCATACAAACATCTGGAAAGTGTCGGCATTCACTGGTGAGGTTTTGTTGAGTCTATAACTCAGAAGAGTGATACTGATGCCTCCTTCTCTTGCCAGAGAGACCCTTACTCATTTCTGTATCTATCCACTCAAACCACCCCACCTTTCAAAACTCTGAATGATTCTTCTTTGTGCTAATCCTTTGGGCATTTGCTGCAAATGCCAAACTCTTTCTGATGAACTAGCTTTAAAAGGCAAAGCACCATGTTAAATGTACTGTGGGACACTAAACTGAGCACAGCAGGAGAACTTCTTAAGTATGATCAGGTGAGATGGTTGGTGCTGATCCAGTGATATCTGATGTCGTGGTATGGCTACAGACTGGATGTTTATATCTCTTTAAAATTCATTTTGAAATCTTCATCCCAAGGTGATGGTATTTAGAGTGGGGCCTATGGGAGGTGACTAGGTTGTAAGGGTGAAGCCCTTACAGGAGATTCATCAATAGATTAGTGCCCTTGTAAAAGACATCAGAGAGATCCCTTGCCCTTCTACATGTGAGATTAGGGTAAGAAGAGCACTGTCTATGAGGAACTGGGCGCTCACTTTGTACCAAATCAACTGGTGCCTTGGTTTTGGACTTCTCAGCCTCTAGAGCTGTGAGAAATAAATGTCTGTTGTTTACAAAGCGTCTGGTCTATGGTATTGAGTATAGAAGCTAGACCAGACTAGGACATGTAGGAAAGAAGACAAGTGCAGAGGAGGATGGGAGAGGGAATCATAAGAAGGATTTTGAAGATGGTACTTAGGTTTGGTTTTCAGACATGGTAAAAAAGTGATGAACAGAGATAGAAGGTCAAAAGTTTGATATAAAGGTATAGAAGTGGGAAATACCAGGTAATGGAACAGTAGACCAATAAGACATAAACCTATAATGAATAGAGAAGCACAGCAATTGGAATAGGTAATCAGTCTCAGAACACTGGAAAGTCTGAGCCTGAACTTTACACAGTAAGCAATGCAGAGCTTGTACTGAAATTTTTTTTAACATGAAATGACATGAGCAGAACCGTATTTAGGAAGGATACTCTGGTTGGGTGTGTATTTAGGGGACTTCTGAGAATCCAAGCGATAGGCCGGGAATCCTGGGTACAATCCTGACTATAGCCAGTGTCACAGGAATGGGGAATGAGAAAGTGGGAACAGGCTGTGGAAACGGCTCTTTCAGGAGGATAACCATGAAGGTCAGAGCTCAAAAGGATATAATTTGTGGAGAGTGACTTTCATTATGTTGAAGACATATGACATGAATGTGAAAGATGTTTCTTTCACAGACCAGGGAAAGCAGAGCTGCGAAGCAGTGACTTTTAGGCTGTGTATGGGATGGCAGGAGAAGGAACAGATCCTTAAGAGCTCTGGTAGCAGTGAGGAGAAAATATAAATGTTCAAAAATGTAAGATATATGCTTCACTCATACATTGCTGGTAGCAATGTAATTACAAAACATTTACAAAAAGTAATCTGACATAGATGTTAGAAACATTAACAATTCCAAACAATCCTTCCTTATTGTTTCAGAAAATTTATGTGTCGGAAATAATACAAAAAGAAAAGAAAACACTATCCACGTATGTTTATTGTGGTGTTATTTAAAATGTTAAGAGATTTGAAAAACATCTCAATTCTTAACTAAAGAAAAAAAAACAATTTGAGTACTCACTGAGTTAAAAGTCTCACAAATTATTTAAATAGAAGAGACATTCAAATTGATGACATAAAAATTCATCTAGAAAAAAATGGTTGCTATGAAATAAATATACTCTGCTCTGCACTGCAAGCCCACTATGGGGCATCAGTAGCAGCAATGATCACTACAGCAATCTTGGGCACTTTTATTCAGTTCTTTAGGTCACTCTGTGATCTGTTTAGTAGACCAGGAAATGGAGACCCAGGGAGATGAAATAATTTATAGAATTTATGGCTCAGAAATCCAATAACTTAAAGAGTTTATATTCCAAGGCAGTTGTGTTTTTTTTTTAGAGCTTACACTTAATTACCTTGCTATCTCCCTATCATAAATAACCAGTTCTTTCAGTCAGTTGCAAAAACATTAATCAAACTGGTTTTTGACATGGCACAGATCAAACAACATATATTTTTTCCTCTGATTGGTTTTTGCCTACATGTAAACATAGCGTTTTCTGTATAATTTTTACCATCCATGTCCTATTCCGTGAAAAGTGATAATGATTAGTTTAAATGTTTGAGTGAAGCTAAATGTTCAATGAATAGAATATCTGAATATTAATTTTATTTTCTCTGGTGCCACAATTTGGAGGAATAAAAAACAGCCCTTACATCTATTATTTATAAACACAAATTGAGGCTACTTAATAAAGACTTTGGTTTTAATGGTGCACATTTATCCTTTAGGATATGATCTATGAAAATGAAAATGAGGCACCTTAATTATGTTTAGTTCTCATTCTCAGCAATATTTTCCTCTGCAGTGATGGGAGAGAAACAGACCTAATTATCAGAAACACTCAAATAATGATGTTAGAATGCCGTGAAACAAATATGCACATTGTGTCCCTTGAGAATATCTATTAGAACATCTTTGCACCAGAAAACATTTGACCAACACATTTTTATTTATATCACTTGAAAATACATATTCTGACAAGAAGAAATTACCTTCAGTTTTTCTTCAAGCTCTGTGAGCGACCCACATAATTCAGTAATAGATTCAAGAACCTCTTTGTGTTTTGCCACTATTTTCTCTGTGTATTTCTTTCCTTCTTCTAAACCTGGGAAGGAGAAATGATAAAACTACTTTTAAAGGCCAAATCCTTAGGGGGAAAAATCCAGTCATTTCCCAGTGTCTAAGTGTGGGCAGACAGTAAGCTCTTAATAAATACTTGCTGATCAAATAAATAATTAATAGAGGCATCTTTGGAAGTGGTTATAATCGCCTTACCATGTAGATTTTATGTAGCCTAAATAATGTTGCCGTAATAGTCTTAAAGCTCAATTCTAGTCACCTTCTCCTGTCCAAAACATTTAGTTATTCTTTATATTTAAAGAACTAAATTTCCCAGGTTGGTGTTGAAGGCCCTCCAGAATACAATTTCAACCTGCTGTTCACAAATGTGTTACCCTAATCTTCTGTCATATTTAGTCTCTGGCCAGACAGCAAGCAATTCTGCCCTCAAAATTCCAACAACCTGGATATCTGTATTCAGAAGAATGAAGCTAGACCGCTTTTTCTCACTACTTATAAAAAAAATCAACTTGACCGCTAGCTCTCACCAGTTATAAAAACCAACTTTAAATGGATTAGACACTTAAACATAATAAATAGAAGTGTAAAACTAATGAAATAAAGCGTAGAGAAAATACTTTGGGATGTTGGCATAGGCAAGGATTTTTTTGGATAAGACCCCAAAGGTACAGGGAACAAAAGCAAACATAGACAAATAGGATTATTTCAAACTAAAAAGCTTCTGCAGAACAAAAGAAACAATCACTAAATTGAAAGACAGTCTACAGAATGGGACAAAATACTTGCACCTCATGCATCTGATCAGGGCTAATATTCAGATCATGTGAAGAACTTAACTCAATAGCAAAATCCTCCAAATGGTCCAATTTTTAAAATGGGCAATAGACATTTCTCAAAAGAAAAGATATATGTGCACAACAGGTATATGAAAAAAGCCTCCACATCACTAATCCTCAGGGACATGGAAATCAAAGGCGCAATGAGAGTTCACGTCACTTCAGTTAGGATGGCTATTATCAAAAAAAATTTTTTAAAACAACAACAGGTGCTTACCAGGATGTGGAGAAAAGAAAACCTTACAGACTGTGGTGAGAATGCTAATTAGTAGAGCCAATATGAAAAACAGAACAGAGGCTTTTCAAAAAAAACTAAAATAAGGAAATAAGAACTACCATAGGATCCAGCAATCCCACTTCTCTATGTATAGCCAAAAGAGACAACATCAGTATGTCAAAGAAACATCTGCACTCCCATGTTTATTACAGCACTATTTACAATAGCAAAGAGATGAAAGCAACCAAAATGTTTGTCAACTGGTGAGTGGACAAAGATATGGTACATACATTCAATGTAGTACTATTTAACCATAAAAAGGATGAAACCCGGTCATTTGGGCCACCCAACTTGGATGGAACTGGAAGACAGTTCCATGGTAACTGAAATAAGCCAGGCATAGAAAAGTAAAACATCACTTACTGCACACTCATGTAAAACCTAAACATGTTGGTCTTTCAAAATAGCAGAATGCTAGTTACCAGAGTCTGGGCAGAGCATGAGGTCAAGAGGAATGGAAAAAGGCTAGTCAAAAGGTACCAGGTCATAGATAGGAGAAATAAATTCAGGTGACAAATTCTAGTGCATAGTAGGGTGACTACACAGAGTAATGTACTGGTGCTTCAAGAAAACTAAAAGAAAGGATATTAAATATTTTCACCATAGAAATGCTAAATATTGGAGTAGCTATGCTTAGCCTAATTTGAACATGATAAAATTTCACATGGATTGAAACATCACATGGTGCTCTGTAAATATGTACAATTTTACCTATCAGTGGAACAATAAAAATAAATTTTAAAAAGTAAAACTTGTCACAGCTAAGTATTCTCTCTTAGATTGGAAATACCCTCCATACGTCCTAGTCTTGCTGTCAAATGCTACCTCCTTTTAAAGACCTACCTCAAATGTCAACATATCTGTGGAAACTGGAATTTATCTATCCCTACTGGGATAACAAGAAAAACAGCTGCTATATACTGAGTGCTTAGTACTCGCCTATGGCTAAACAATTTCTACACATTATTTGATGTGATCCTTGGGTAAGTTATATCCCATTTTTTATAAATGAAGACCCTGAAGCTCAAAAGAACCTCTTCAGTTGACCCAAATAGTATTGGAGGAACAGAGATTTGAACCCAGGACTACCTAACTCCACAACCTAGGCAATCAAACATTACAAATTGCTATAGGGTGAATTCTCCCCCAACCCCAAAAACATTTGTTGAAGTCCCAATCTCTAATACCTCAGAATTCAACTGTATTTGGAAATAAATTCATTAAAGAAGTGATAAGTTAAAATGGGGTCATTAAAGCAGGACTCTAATCCAACACGATCGGATTCTTCTAAGAAGAAGGAAACGCATGCAGGGTTGTTTGGATTTTTTTCCTGAAAGAGCTTATAAGCAGTAGTGAACACAGACAGATGTTTATACCATGGTGTACGGGGTACAGTAATAGAAGTAAACATCCACATACTATGGTTGCAGAGTGCCTCCAACAGTTTTCAGAGTATTTATACCGTAACCACAGCAATAAGGAAGCCTGAGTTCAATCCCTAGTACCATAAATAAATAAATAAATAAATAAATAAATAAATAAATAAATAATTTCCAAAGGAAAGTACTAAATATAAATTGAAAAATTAATGAAAACTAATGACAGGGCTCCTTCTTGCTGTAGTTACCAACCTAGGTAAGCACTCTACCACTGAGCTATGTCCCCAGCCCCGGAAAGTCATAATTTGTTCTCAATTTAATGTTATTGCAGTACATATTATTCTGCAATAATTTTATGGCTATCTAAGGGTGGTGCTTCATATTATAAATCAAAATATCTCTCTGGCAGCAGCTGTGCACACCAAACATAGCACTGTGTGTCACCAGTGACTGTATTGTTTCTAGGCTGCATTTGCCTGGTCACTGGAAATTACTCTTCGTCTCATAGGAATGACTTTAAAGAATTCACGGAAGCTATTTTTTAGAGCCCTTAAGGGTTGGCTTTATCCGGGGACTTTGTAAGCAAAGCCCCCTTTTAGGAAGAACTCCTCGGGCTGAGTACAATTTATTATCTTTCCTAACCATGGAGAAGAGGAACGAAGTCATGAGGTGATGATTAGAGCCTTCTCACTTATGCATGAGTGAGAGGAAGATGAGGCAGAATTTTCCAGCTACTTCTCAGATCTGCGAGCCCAAACCCTCAGAGATATGAGAGGACCGTGGACTTCAGCCTTAACTTCGTGCCTAACGTATTACTGCAGCTTGTGTGTTGTGTAAGGAATGACTCTAGTGCAAATTTACACCTTTTTGTCTATAGAAGCTGAGCATTGTTCTAGTTTTATTGTCCTAGAGATAAACAAGAGAAATGGAGAATAGCAAATAGAGAAGGAGCGCTAAGTCAGGTAGTTCAAAACCGGAGGGCTTCATCTCTTGCTGTCAGAGGTTCCTCCTGTTCACTTTTGCAGGATGTGGGCTCCTACCACGAGCCTTTTCTCTGGATAGGTCGGTGTAGTGAAGGCCCCAAAGCTTGCTGCGCTGTGCTTTCTGGTGGATTAGGTTCAGTATAGATTTGAACAAGGGCAAGTCACCGCATATCTTAACACGAATCTCACCATATAAGCGCCGAGCCAGGTCAGTGACCTCCTGAATCCTTTCTTCTTGCTGAGGCACTGAGGGTGCAATAAACTTATTGAACTGCTGGTGGAGAATTTCCACAGCTTCCTTTGTTTTACACTCCAGGGAATATTTTCCAACTCGCACAATGGTAGCACTTGCATCTTCATACCAAAAGTAACACTAAATTAAGATAGGATAAAGCACAGATTAAAGAGCTACCATCTTTCTCAGGAGCTTAATTTCAGCCAGCAAAGCACAACGTTTTAAATTTTTTAATTTCTCTAACTTCATGTTTATGTGGGCTTTAACTTTATAAGTCATTTTAAAGAAAATTTCAAAACGTCAGCATATAATTTTTAAACATTAAAAGCAGAAGTATGGAAATATGTATAAAAAAGTGAGAAAATAAAATTTCTAATTTTAGAAAATATCTTTGATTCTCCTGCCTTCTTAGGTTTTCACCAAAAAGAATAACTCCTAAGAGGAATAAAAATATGCAGCATTAAAAACATTTGATACTAAAAAGAATTCAAACATAAGTCAAACGCAAAGCTAAAACATTCAAAATCCAGCATGATGGACTGATCCCATGAGCAATTCAGGATAAAATACTGCCTGATGGATACTCTAATAAATAAATTCTCTTTTAAGAATGAGACTTAGATTATGGATGAAGGAAATATCGTCCAAAGAATAGCATTTTTACCGTTTAAAAATAGAAGACAGTCATATTTTTAAACTACAGTGGAGAATTGAAACAGTTTCTCACTAAAAATAAATGACTGTGATGAAAGAAGTGTGTGACCAGGCTAGAAGCACTTATGCTGGTAAGAAATAGCCACACATGACTCTGCTAGGAACTGGTTTTAAATAAATGCCAGAGAACTGCAGCAAACATATACATCAGATAGAGGAGAATAACCATCTTGCTCCACCTTAATGTGGTGTTAAATCTAGGAACTCCATTGTATTAGCGGTAAAGAAAGACACTTTATTTCTCAGAATAATGGCAACAAAAAAAAAAACACTTAAGAACTTCAAATATAAAATTTCTTTCACAGGAAGTGTGAAATAATAACTTTGGACTGTCAAATTTCATATGTTATAAGTAGACCACTATTTATCCTCTCAAAAACATCAAAAATACACCAACACCAAATTTTGTACTTTCAAAAATTCCCAGGATCACTTTTTTTTCTGAATATTTTCAAATTCTGGGAAATAAATAAGTCATCATGAGTATTTTAACAGCTATTCAGTGATGAATATCATGATTTTTAAACATTTTGAGCTGATGAAGTTATGAAGAAATGGGGGGGCTGGGGATTTAGCTCAGCGGCAAAGCGCTTGCCTGGCAAGCGCAACGTCGTGAGTTTGGTTCCTGGTACCGGAAAAAAAACCAAAAAAAAAAAAAACCAAAACAAGAAATGGGAACTTTCATGCATTGTGGGTAAGAGTAATTTAGTAGACGTTTTCTGAAGAGCAAATGGACAATACAATTTTTTAAAAACCTTACAATGAATATTCCTTTTAGCCCAACAATTCTACTTTAGGAAATTATCCTAAGGAAATAATTATGAAAAGGAGTATGATTCTGGAATTTAATGACAATAATAGTGAGTGCAGTATTGTTTCAAAGTAGCAAAATAATTTTTAAAACAGTATTATAGCAAGAATATCTCTACATCATAAAGAAAATACCTCTTCTATTAATTCCTGGAGATGTTCAGTCAGATCCAAATTTGTCTTGTAGTCTGTGACAACTTTGTCGAAGTCATCCACATGTTTTTGCAAATCTTTCATAGCTTCCAAAATGATAATAACTTTATTACTTGGATAATTTAAGAAAGAATCAGAAGTTTTACTATGAAGTTTTTCCATTCTTCTTCTCAAAGCCTATGCAAAAAAATTTTTAAATAATATTCAATTTTTATTTATGATGTCAGTGATAGAAAACACCTTTGAAAAATTGTTGTAGCTTCCATAATTATGTTTTTTTAAAAACCACAGTAGAATGAGTAGAATTTCTTTCAGACATTTTATTCAGTATTGGCAAGAATATAGAAAACTTGCTATTACAGATAATGAGAAGAATAGCATGATTTTTAGAACAAGACGATGATCACAAAAGCAAAGTCAAATGTTTAGTTCTAAGCTCACTGTCTCCTACAAAGGGCATTCAAGTAATTGAATCCATACATGTGATCACCAAAAGCGTATGCGAGGAAGCTGTGGAGGAAACTGCTGACTTAGGCAGGTACATGGAAAGACAGAGAAGGGTAAGAAAGTGCCTGTCTGTCACACGCATGTGCATGGATGTGTTGGGAGGAAGAATAGAGGCACATAGGCTCGGTAGGTTTGGCAGAAACCATCCTGGGGCTGCTTCCAGAGACAAACCTCCCAGTGGATCAGTGGAAACTAAGTTACAGCTAGCTAGAGGAAAGAAGCTCTAGTGCTCCATTGCAGAGTAGTGTGACGACAGATAATGTACTGCCTGTTTCAGAAATCTAGAGGAAAGAATTTTGAATGCTTCCACCATAGGTAAATGATACATGCCTGAAAAGATAGGTATGTTTCGTCTGTTTAAACATGACACAATGTCTGCGTGTATGGCAACAACACACAATGCCTCCAAAATACATATAATTTTTATGTTTATATGTGTTAAAGTAACTTTACATTTAAAAAACTAAGAAAATAAACCAAAACCTAGCACTTATAACTAGTAGTTTAAAATAGTAAAAGAAGCACTTGACTTCAGATCAGAGAAACTGTTTTCCCACTATTGTTAGAAAAGGGGAAGAGAATAAAGGTGAGGGAAGGGGCAGTGGAAGGGAAGGTAATGGTGGGATGAATATGACTAAAATACGCTATATGCACCAGATGTGGTGGTGCATGTCTATAACCCCAGAACTCGGGAGGCTGAGGCAGAGAATTGCCGTGAGTTCGAGGTCAGCCTGGATACAAAGTGAGTTCAAAGCCAGCCTGAGCTAAACAGCAAGACCTTGTCTCAAAAAAAATTTTTTTTTTTGATTGCCCAAAATTCCGTTTTTGAACCCAATATTTTATAAAGTTATTAAGCACTAGTAATTATATATTTATAAAAAGAAATTGTACTCCAGATGGAATGATATTATAGATTATTGTGTGAAATTGTTACTATAAGTTAGTCCATTTAAAATCAGCATCATTTTGTTGAATGACAAGCAAATAACCAAAAATTTTTGGACTGCAGGGAATAAAGTCATTATTTCTGAAACAGAAAAGAGAAGTAAATTTATTATTTTTCCACAAGGGACCCAATTGTTATAAAACTGGATGCCCTTTCAATCCTAATGCTATAAAAAATAGCATCTAGAATTAAGTGCAAAATGATTTTGCACTAATTATAGGAGTACAGGTACCCATACATTTACATGCACACACACAACACTTTCCCCTTACCTGCATTTTTTCATCATACATATCAACTTGTTGGATGTGATATTTAAGAGCCTTCAGATTTCGAGCTTTTTCATTTTTCTTAGTATAATTAAACTTCAAATTGTTGAATTTCTTTTTGATATCTTTGAATGACTCTTTGAGCTGTAGTGCATTATAAAGAAATATAACTTTCTTAAAATTATAAAATTAATATTCATTTGTACTACGCCCCTTCAAAATATCCATAATGTTCAAAATGTATTTAGAGGATTTTTAACAGAGAGCAAATCTAATGGGACACAGAATATGAATTTAAATATACCTCCAATATAAGTAATTACAAATTGTTTTTAATATCTTTTGATTTATAAATTAGAAATATAGTTATAAAACATCCCTTTGGCCCCCAAGCAAGCAAGCTTCTAATATATTGTATATAAATTTGCAACAGCTCTAGTTTTTTTAAAAATCTGGGGTCATTTTCCTTATTCATTTCATTTTCTATGTGCTAATAATATCTGCCCCAGATCCACCTTCTGATGTCTCTGATAGACATCACGTGTAAATGTATTAGGACTCCAAGGAGCTGCTCATGTGGAAGACGTCAATGAAGTGTTGAAACGCATTTTTCACACTGGTGAAAATCCACTACAACGTTAACGGGATGGAAGGGAAGACCCAATATGATGCTTAGTGAAAAAAGAAGTTTACATGCTCTGCTAAAAATTACTTTTTATGAGCAAATTTAATATGAGTTTTATTTTTTATGCATAGGTCGTTAACTTCAGAGGTACTTTAAAAAGTGAGAGTAGTGGCCTATGATGGCAATGCTAATTTGTGTATTAACACAGTATATGTCTATACTTTGAGAATATAATATAAATTAAAAGTCTTATGAACAGCTTGACTTTACTAGTGTGCCGCAATTTCAAGCAGTTGGGTTCCACTCAGTACACCCCTTTCTGTCCTTTTCCTGTATTGAAAATGATAAGCATATTGACAGGCAACTCTATGAATTAATAGCAAAAAGAAGCACAAAGAAGACACGAACCTCGGATTATACGGAGGCATTTAACAAGAGTGAACAGTGTCATGGTTAATAAATTGCAGCTATGATAAGAAAAGTAGAAAAACATTAAACTTTTCAATGTAGCAAACAAATTATGAGCAGGAATAAAACCCATGTTTATGTTAGAAATTTATATTCATGATGTAGAAAAATGTATCTACCCTAGAAAAAGCATGATTTCTCAAAATCCTTATTGCATAATGTCATTGATATTATTTACTAATATTTCATAATTACAAAAACAAAGCCTGGACCATATCTTTAACACTTCCTAGAAACAATCACCTATAATGTTCTAGCACAGAAATTACACTCATGTGCTTTTTTTCATCTGACATACTTACACTAAATCAGCTTTGTATATTTTACATAGTAAATGAAATTTTTGAACATTAGTTTTAGTGACACACTAAACCAAGAGCAGAGATCACACAAACCAATTTAATGAATAATATCTACAAGGAGTGGAAATAGCTATATATTAAAATTTTCTGTATTAGAACTTGGGCAAATATTTAAACGTAATATATTTAATTACTATATTTGTGAAATAACTACATAGGTATATGTTATACATTCAGTGTTTTCATGTGTATGTGTTTGATTTTAGCAGAAAAGTCTAAATTAAGTCAATGTTATGAGGATGAGCTATAAAAGAACTATATCCTGAGTTACTCACATGAAATTTAAGCAGGAGCTTCCCCCACTCAACAGTTTCAATCTGTAACTATAAATGTGGTAAGTGCCACACCAGAGCAAATCAGAAATTCTTGTTTAATAAAACCCATCCTCATTCATAAGTTACTATTTAAATAATAGGGTTTTGGTTTGGGATGATAAAACAGTTCCGCAGATGGATAAAGGTGACAATTGCACACAATATGAATGTACTAAATATCACTGGGTTGCACACACAAAACGGTTAAAATGATAAATTCTATGTGCATTCTAGCTTAACTAAAAATGTGAAAATGAAATAAGAAGAAAACTACTGTATATCCATTGCTAATATTTATACATTGGAAAGTAAAATTTTCAACCTTATTTTTATTTGCTGAAACATGACATATACTATAAACTTAAGTCTACAGCAAGGAAGAGGGGCTGTGACATCAGCCTGATAACCCTCAGATTCTATCTGCTTGTTTAAGTGGGAAAGATTAGCTTCTACGGGAACATTATATGAGGAAAGAAGAAAGACTAAGCCTTACCACTTTAATTCTAAATCATAAGATTTCAAGTCGACTGGGGATTAAGAAATTTAAGACTGATAACTGATGAGTGTGATTTTATTTTTATTTGCTTCAGAATGTGTGCACGTCTGCTGCAGATGATTTATAAGGCCGAAGAATGTTCATGACGCTATGGGTATGTGAAATGGGATCAGCATCCTTCTGACACATGAGCTCCCTCACAAAGTTGCTGGCACTTTTCTTTCAGTCCCACTGAAAATCCATTCAAAACCTCAATCCTTGCACCTTCCCCAACTCAATCTCTCTGTTTGCAGGTACAAGTGGAAGGCGGTAGGCATTAACTACCTCCAGTGACTAAAAAAATCTAGCCATATCTAATTTTTCTTACCTGCATATTGCAATATGAAAACTAAACTTCCCGTCTAATCCCCACATAACTTGGGGTCATATTTTTGAAGGAACGGAGCGCCGTGGCAGCTTGGCTGGGGTATCATTGTTCATGCAGCTGTTTCTAACTTTAGTTAGCTTGTCAACAATGGGGCACGGTGAAGACTAATGCAACTGCTCAGCTTGAGCACACAGCAGGAAAAATATTTGAAGCTTGGGGCAAGACAGACTTTATCCCACTAGAAATCTTTGAATGTTGTCTTAATTCATATTAACAGAATTTCTGAAAGTCTTATGAAAATTGAGGGCTTTTTCTCAGCAAATAATTTGATATTCTCATCTTTCCACTTGCTTAATTCCCCCATATCTGTCACGGAATAAACACGCTAAACTAACACAGCTGTAATTAGATAAAAGTTTTAAAACAGTAGCTTTTTGCAACTAGGAGAATGACAGTCTACCAAATTTCCTAGCGAGCCATAAGACCCCTCTCTCCGGGTTAGGAATAAAGAAACTTCTTTGAGAAGAAGCAGCCGGGAAAGAGGCTCATGACAGGTGGCGCTTAGCTTGCTATTCTTAGTCTTGACTAAGGTGGTGGTGGACGCAGCTTTGGCTCAAGCATGTATTATTTGCAAGTGCATTGCTGGCAACGCCAATTGGTGTGAAAGATGCGGGACATTTTCAAAATGAGAAAATGCATTCAAAAAGAAAAGCTTTCATTAGAACTATGGCCAAATTTGGGCCAGGAGGAAACATACAGAATTAATAGTCAATTTCATTTCTCTTAATGTCCACCTCATGAGCATCATTTCTTGCCCACCATTTGCTTATTCCAGAAAATAAGCTTTCTAATGCTCATTTCAATAACATAAGGCTGTAATGTTACCATACCCTGGGGATGCTTGCATTTGAAGCGAAGACAGCAAGTGATCCAAAATTTAACCCAAATGATCTGATGAAACTATTCGTGAAGCATTTGAGTTGGAGAGATTTCAGGACAAAATTCCCCTGTCTTCCTTCCATTTGGCAACCATGCCATGTCTCGCTGAGTTTAAGGCCAATCTTGTAGCCACAGAAAGTGGGGCAACTTAGAAAGAGAAGACTGTTGCTCCGTTTCAAATTGTAGATGGCAGCAGGTCTCAATAATAAATATTTTATCTCAGTTAATGCTTAAAATTTTTTATATTTTGACCAATTTTGCATGCTTTATCTGGTAATCTGAGCAACTGACTTGAAGACAACAATATGCAATGGAATTACCATTGGTGAACTCCTACCATCTTGTCTAGTGAAACTCTGTATTATCTCTAATGTTTTATTGAAGAATTATTTTTTATTCTCTTTAATGGTTCAAACAATTTTCCATTCTTACATCTGATAATTGAGCAATGTAGTTGAAGACAACACTATGTAATATAGCAACCACTGTTAATTCCTATCATTTTGTTTCGAAACCCTGTATCACTTTTAATGTTCTTGCTTTGTTTTGTTTATGTCTGCGATGTTGGTATGTTGTTATTGCTCTTTTCTTTTTACTACTCTCTTTAAAATAAAAAATAAAAATAAAAGAATATTTTATCTATTCTGCATGTTCTGTTTCTTCTCGATATATTTATTAGCCTTTGTTTTATTTTCCAATATATTTAGTAACTGTTGTTTTATTTTCTAGAGATGGCAAGTATAATGTTAAACTTCAGCTGCCTCTATTTTTCTAGTAAATTCCAGTGTGATTTCACAGATGTAAAATGCTAAATTGTAAAATTCTAACTGTATGTGATAGATGTTTTCAGAACAACTTGTAATCTTTCCTATCCATTTACATGTCACATCCACATGAGGTCTGATTAATGAATCGCTATGCCTGTGAAGCCCCATGGCTTTTAATTTTTCCTAGACTTTGTTTCTCAGGGATATTTCTACTCTTCCCACCTAGCACACAGTAATCATATTAAAGGTATTTGCTGAACTGAAGATAATATCTTCTTTTTAAAATAACAGATTTAGGATATAAATCTGGAAAATAGTTACTATCTATATGGCACCATTGTGCTGCCCAATGAATGGTCTGCTTTCTATACAAACTTTTCCTACATAATTTTCTGCCAGCCAGTGGCTGTTTATGGGTATTTCTTTTCAGTGGCAAAGTGCCAAGCAATGTCAGTATTCTTTTTTAAAATATAATTAATTGTGTGTATAGTGGTACTATTTCTCTACTCTAATTTACTGCTTCTTTTCTTTTCTTTTCTTTTCTTTTCTTTTCTTTTCTTTTCTTTTCTTTTCGTCTTTTTGAGATAGTGTCTCACTATGCAGTTCAAGCTGGCCTTGAACTCACTTTGTAGCCCAGGCTGGCCTGGAACTCACGGTGATCCTCCTGCCTCAGCCTCCCGAGTGCTGAGATTACAGGCATGTATCATGTGTCACCACACCTGGCCTTCTAATTTACTGCTTCTAATCTAGTTTGTAAGTCTGGAAAAAAAGATGTTGGATTTATCCAAAGACAAAAAATAAAAAATAAAATAAAAGTACTTTTTTGTTAGGTCTCAAGAAAATAAAATATGCTCAATATTAACATTATATTTCTAAATGTAGATCTGTAAAGAATGAGAAACAAATGATGTCCCTTTGCATATAATACAGCAGACAATATGTCTAGAATGTTATATAAGATGCTTTGTACCTTAACTTATTCATATAACAAGACAAGAAAATTTATAGTGATAATCAACATTTATGCATGTAAATGTATCTCTGTGTGAAATAAGTAAAGTAACCTAGTTGTTTGACAGGTATATTTTCTAGTAGGTAAGTAAAAATTGAAGTTTTACAATTTCCTATGTCTTGCTATAAAATATAAACAATTTTCTTTTACCCAAAGATAATCAAGGTGTGACATCATTGTTCTTTTTCTATAAGGAATATCACATATCACATTCTAAAAATCACATTTAGACCCTCTTGCCTTGCAATACTAAGATCTCTTGTAAGGATTTTCAGTGGAATTAAGATCATATAAGTTAGCTACAGCACAGTCAAGAAAGAAATTTTTGTTGAAATGACCAAACAAATTGTGCTATTGTATCAGGTCATATAAACATCTTAAGACAGAACTATTAGAACAAAAAATAGAAAAAGGATACACTGAACATTAGACCATGCAGTGATTGCATGGGATCACATTATGTGAATGGTGAATTCTGAATTTAGCAAATGATGAGTGTGTTTGGTACCCAACAAATGCATCTCTAGCCCAAAGTTGACCACCTGAAATAGTATAAACAAAAACTCTAGCATACCGTGAAAGTGAAAGACATGTACCTCAGTATGCTCATCTGAAAATGAAGACATGGAACTAAACATTCTCCATTTACTCCGTCGGAACTGAGTTTCAAAGACTTTAAGCACGTTAAAAGTAAAACAAAGTGTTTTAGGATGAATTTTAAAAATCAAATGCTATATGTGGTCTAGTTCACTGGCAAGATATTTTATTTTAATATTTCTATAAGAAAAAAATTATGTAACATATTACGGTTCACCTTACATGATGTGCTAAGTACCTGACTCTAAAAACTAATAGTGATAATAATAGTAATGATATCTGGGTATTATTACCATTGTGGAAACTGACTCACCATGGAAACTCACCATCTGTTTGTGTTCTGATATTCACAATATAAATGAGAACACACCTATCCTTATTTATTAATGGACACTGAAAATAAGTCATGGTGTGGATGCTTCACTGACATGCCTCGTATGTCTTTACAAAAATAAAAAGAAAGGAAGAAAGGATCGAAGGTTTTTGGAGGTCTTTTAAACTTACATCAGAGGTTTGTTAAACATGAAGTAGAGGCAGATGGGAAGTCTGCCTCTCTTAATATTTAAGAGTGTATTAAAGTGATATCTGATTCCCAAATCAAACCCCCATGTATCTGGTTGCTCATTCCTGATGTGGTACAGACAATCCTGGGGTGTCCCTACTATGACTGGAAGTGTCATCTGTCATCCTGCTGGCTAGTTCCAAGTGCAAGCTCATCACGAGGCAGTCCCCATAAATAGACCTCCTGCTGGAAGGGCCAGAACAGGGAGACCCAGCTCCAGAAATGCTACAGCTCTTCAGGGAGACAGAAACTGAGCCAGAGGAGGCTGGGAATACCCTCAGCCTGCTCTGATTGTGTTCTCAGTAAATACACAGCGGGGCCATCACTGCAAGGAGGGAGGATTGTACAAGACAGAGACAAAAAGGAGGAGGAAGAGGGGAAGAAGAAAGAGGAATATAGGACAAGGAGAAGGAGAGAGACAGGGCATGGAAGAGGGAAGAAAGGGGAAGACTTTGGGGAAATATTAAAAAGTTGTTCCCATGGCCACAAATCCAAATTTCATAGCGTTGGGGAGCCTAGGAAGCTATGTTTTCTTTAGCAAGGGCTGATAGGACTGTAAACTACAGGACAGGCACTAGAACAGGACATTGTACTACGCAGAGGGCAGACTACATTGCAGGTTCAACCTGAGATGAGTTGACAGGGCTCTGGCCCAGAGTGACTGCCTAGAACACAAACCATAAGCAGATGACTGTTTTATCGCATATTCCTAAAGTAATGATAAATGGTTAGATGCTGCTTCCCACTTCCCTTCTGTGAAAGAGGAGCTCAGTGGTTACTTCTGCTCTTTCTCGCTGGCTTTCCTTCTGGCCACACCTGCCAGTAATTTGCGAAAGTGTGGCCTGCAGGGGGAGCACAGGAGAGCACGGCCACCACTGGAGTGATCGCTCCTCCTTCAGTCTTTGCTTCAGTGTTGCTTGCTGATATTTGACACTTGTGGAGCCCAGATTATGCAGACTGGACATAAACTGAAAGTTCAGGAAGGTTGACTTCTTTTCTCCTCCCCTCTGCCTAGTGGACTGATGGCCTAATGGACTTAGAAATATTATGCTCTACGGGGAGATAAACCTGGAATTTATGGGTAGCCTGTGTTCTGCTATCGATTCCCAGCAAAGAGTGGGGGGCCCGGCCTACAAATACAAAGCTTAACTGGGGGTGGGGTGACTGTAAGTGTCTAGGGATGGGGGTTGGTCACAGCTGATGGGGAGGAGGGGGAATTGTGCCTCTGGCGGTCGCAGGGACGTGGAGAGCCACTTTTATCTGCTATTTCTTTTTTGCTAAGCGTTGTTTTGCCGGAAAAGCCACTCAGTTCGAAACCAACCACTTGACTCCGATGACAGTACTTGGGAGCATCTGGAGCAAAGTATCTGATCTCCTGGCCTTAGCACCTTCTTCACCCTGAGTCAACAGCACGTAAATAGAATCTCCGCAGGCTGAGCCGGCCACCACAGCGCAGCGCCACCCTTGCCTCTGCCCCCTAAAGATGCTGGACCCACTCAAGCAAATGACACCTGTGCGGTTTCAATGGGGAAAACAAGCAAAAATCAAACCAACAAAAGCAACCACATAAAAGCCTGTAACTTGGCATTCTAGGTTTTTCTATGGAGTGACAATATACTGACTTCAAGGCATTTGTGAGGGTGGAGTTTATTCAAACTTTCAGAAGACTGAGGCTACTGTTCAGAAAATTAAGGGACAAAGATGGAAAGAAAAGTACCTGAGTGTGTGTGTGTGTGTGTGTGTGTTGGTGTTGGTGTGTGCAAATGTGCATATGTATGGACCCTGACGCATATGTTTTGGGTTCAAAGCAGCTTTGGGCAGGGGCCCTGTCCTGACGGGTCTACCTCATTTATCTCATGTCCTGTAGCACAGAACTGCAGGCTGCAGGACCAGGCTTGCTCACGCGCCTTGGCCCTCGAACACCAGTTCACGTGGTCCTCCTCAAGGGCCTCCAGCTGCTGCTGCAAGATCTTCACGGAAACATTAGAGCAATGCTAAAAATGAAAGATGTGCGAAAGTGACAAAAGGAATGAATGAAACTGCAGAGAGACAAATACACTATTTAGCTGCACTATGAACTTCAGAAATGACATTTTAAAAGAAGACTTAAATTAGTGTCCTAATTTATCTTACCTTAAACACATCTGAATATTATTATTTCAGAAAGAAGCCAGACACCCAACATTATGAGAAAGGCTTTTTCAATCCGGAATCTCCAGTTTTGAACATTTGTTCACCACACCCTACTCCTCAGAGACACTATTCATCATAAGGTATAATTTTTACTTCAAAAGGCATAAAATATGCATTAGAAATGTTCTGCTTCTGCACTATAATTTTCCTGTCAACTTGAGTTTAACCTTGGGTTCATTCTGCAAGTGGTCTCCAATCTCAACTTATCACAGAGGGGCTGCTGGGGCCACGGCCAGAAGGTTGGGGACAAGTTGCATTATTTGTACAAAGTGAGACATCTCACTTTCTTCCTTTTTAAAAATAAACCCATTAATAAAATAAAACTCTTTAAAAAAAAGAAAGCTCCTTCCTGGCAAAAGTAGATTCTATTATCAGCAACAAAGGCTTGTATTTCTTTCAGTTTTTCTTTTAAAAAAAATATGTTAGGTCCCCTGCATTAGTGGATATCTTAAATGAACTTAAAATAAAATTTTATTAATGTTATACATATTCGTGGAATAAATTATAATCTTTTCTCCCCTCAAGGTAAGAATTTGGAGAAAGATTTTTATAAAAACATAGCCCAGGACATTATTTATGAAAATTTGACCTGGAATATTTCCTTTACTTTTGGAATTCTTTGCTAAAATCTCTGAAGTGGCATGATACAGAACCAAGAGCTAATGTCCAGAGCCCTGGCCAGACCCAGGGGACTTGGGCTCCTCTGCACTAGGCTTTTGTGGTTAAGACAGCCAGCGTCTCTGGGACTCAAGTTCTTCCTCTATGAAACAAGAGTGATAATCTAAAAAATATCTAGTATGTAGTGGTTTTCCACTTCTGCAATGCTAAATCAGTACTGTCCAATAAAAATATTATGTGTCATAAAAATAATTTCCATATTTCCAGTAATCATTGAAAAGTAAAAAAAAAAATTAAACATAGTTTATTTCACCAAATATATCTAAATATTGTCATTCTATAAAAACCCAACATACAACATTAATATGATTTTTTTCATCTTAAGTCTTTGAAATCTGTTATACATTTCATATCTTGAGCATATTTTAAATGTAGCTAAATTGCTATCAGTGATATTTGATTTATACCTATATTTCATAGGATTTACCGTTTCAAAAGTAGATTCATAGACCTAAGTTTTTCCTGACACTTAAAAGTTTTCCAATAACCATACTGAGGATCAGTTTTAAGTCTCAGTTAATTCAGATGAAATAAAACGATTAATTCTTAGTTACATTAAACACATTTCAAATATGAAAACATAAGTGCTACATAGCTCTCTTTTAAAATAAGAATAGATGTGTTAACTTTTGCATTCAAATTTTAAAACTTTCTTCATAGGCGGTAGAAACTCATCACAAATAATTACTCTAATGGCTCACTATATATTTAAACTTCATATATAGTAAGCTATCTGGTTTCTTTCATATTACCGGCAGCCCCCAGACAGACATAGTTACAGAAGACGCTGTTATAGGATGCTTACAGGCTGCTGTGCTGACGAGATGATGTCCACTCCTAAGGAAAGCGCCAGTTCCTGGAGATGCTGTACGTGTGCCTGCTTCTCCTGAGAGCGACCCAGGTGAATCTGGGCATTGTGAGCATCGCTCAGTTCCTTCAGCTGATCTTGAAACTCCAGTTCTCTGGATCCGGTGAGACATCCCAGCTGGAATTTAGGCCATTAACAATTAACTTGGGTTTGATATGAAGACAACATTTTAAATGTCTATTTTCTGTAACATACTTTACTAGCTGGTCAGATTACTGCCAAGCTAATCCTTAATTATTAATATAATGGCTGAGTCCGTGTTGTAAAACTATAAATCCAACAGGGTAACATTGTCAGTTCTAGGAAGGAAGGAAATACCTTTTTTAGTTGTAGCCTAAAACCTTAGCAAAGATCTAGATAAGCTGTGGTCTGAACAAGCTCAGAGGTTATTTTAAAGGGATATCAATTTACCTATAATTTTGTGCTAATCGAGGCTAAACAAATAGTATTTATTGAAAACCCCATAATGTCAAGTACTTGAGATTCAAAAATATTGTGTTTGGCTTCTGCCCTCAAAGAACTTACACTTGAGTTGGAAAAAAAAATCTACTTTGATTAAGAAGCAATTAAGAGTTGAGACACTAAACATGCCAGATGTGTTGAATTATCCATGAGAGCTCTAGGAATTTAGAAGAGAGAGAACCACTCACATGAGGCAGGACTCTGGGAAGGAGGTACAGGGTTTGCTTGACTGGGAGGAGAGAGAGACACCTGCCAGGTAATAGCAACCCGAGAGTCACGGCGTGTAGCAGGAACGTGAGCACCATCCTTGACAGACTAAGAGCTCAGTTTGCCAGGAATGTAAGGGAAGATAAGGGTATAATTTTTAACATCCTAGTGTAAAACCTAGGGTCTTTCAGATATCTGTGGTAAGTCTTACCTCCTCCTTGACCTGGTGGAACTGGACTAATTTGTACAGGACATCCTCGTAATCCTGGATTCTCTCTGTCTGTTTCTGGTGGAGGTGAATAAGATCTCTGAGCTGTTGAGACTTCTCTTTCACGGGGGCTCCTTTGCCACTTAGTTCTTCTGATTCTTTCATGATGTACTGAACCTCTTCATGCAGTTGCTTAGAAGTGAAAGCAATATAAGAAATCCAGCTTTCACAAACTTTTTACTTTACAAGTGACAATCTCAGTCATGAATCATTCTCTCATTTGTTAGCAAATGCTTATTTTGAGGCTTCCCCCAAATCCAGGCACTGCGCATGATGCTTGGGATCCATCATTCCATCCTTGTCTGCTCATTAATTTGCAACCAATGTGAAAAAACAGTGTTTGAAGGCTAGATGGTGAAGTGGGAAATCTTCTACTTCTATGGCACATCAAATGTTCTAGTCATTCTTTAAGTAAATGTATTTGAGATATTTATGAAACCCATGATCATCTCTGATGTTTAATATAGACCAGAATCAGATGGCGTGATAAGAACATCAAGAGAAGTGTGAAAATATGTCAGGGAATTACTTGCACTCTCTGATAAAAGAATGATCAGAATGAAGAACCAGCTGAACAGCACATTAGATGTAATGCTTCAAAGTGATCATCCCATAATCCACAAATAGCCACCACATGCAGAGAGAGATAAACTCCCTTCCCTTTATCCAGCACTTGTCAGCTATCCCTTATAGGAATATGGATTCTGGAAAAGAACTTGCAAAGGATAGACAATTTAATGGGGATAGTACTGTAATTTCAGGAGTAGATCTTGTACAAAAGGTCACAGTAATTGTTCTAGTTATACTTAGATATTCCCTAAAGCCTCATGCAGTCATAGATGGACAATTTAGAAGGTGGCTTGATTATGGTATATGAATGTGGAGTGAGGGTGTGATACTATGATTAAGGAGGTGGACACTGGAAGCCCAACCTGGGTTTGGGTGACTCCAATCAATAGGCTTGTGCCTGGATGGAATATAAAGGCATAGAAAAAAGGCATGCTTGCTGCTGCTGCTGCTGCTGCTGCTGCTGCTGCTGCTGCTGCTACTGTCCTCTGCCCACCATGTTATGAACTGTTTCTTCCCTGGAATGCCCCTCTGCCATGTAACCCTGTCTCAGAGCCAGCCGACTATGGACTGAATCCTCTACAAAATGTGAGCCAAAATAAACCTTTCCTCCTTTAACTTTGGGAGTTGGGTATTTTGTCTCAGCAACTAGAAAAGTAACTGAGACAGTGATAGAAATGATTCAGGTTGAGAGAAGTTTCAGAAGACTGACTCAAATAGGGTCCTGAAGTTCAAATCAAGCACGTGGGCATCAAAACATGCACTCACAGTGACAAAGCTACATAAACTTGGCAATGGTTCCTGAATTAGAGGAGCTTATACATGTATCCAGAAACATGTTCCCAAATTAAATCCAAGTAAGTATGAGGGTATATCAAAGAACGTAACATAGGCTAGTCATGGCTCCTAGAGCTTTGGTGAGTTTCCTGTGTTACAGCAGTGTGTATGTATAGTAAGGATGGTTATATTTTTACATAAATTTTGTCTTAAGGAACTTATGCTCAGATATTTTCTAGAGGAATCCTCAATTACCTGATTTGTGGATTTTTTTAATGACACTTATGAAGTAATGACAGAAAAAACACCATGTCTTAATTTTACAGCAAACCCCCAAACCCAGACCTGAGGATACTGTGATTAGCAACCTGTTTAAACAGTTGTGTCAAGTTTAGGAGCAGCAGGGGGTGGGGATGGGGTGGGACATGACTCAAGGTTCTGTCTCTCATATCCCGAGGGTTTTCTGAAGGGGTGAGAGAGAGAGAGCAACAAAATTCCTAGGATGGCGGTGGGGACTGCAGTGCGGGGGGGGGCACAGTAATGTCACAATGTGATTTCAGAGACAAGGGCATCAGAGTCTCCAAGTGAGATGCTGCCCATCCTTGCTCTGAAATGTTTGCATTTAAAACATTCCCTGGTAATTAGAGTACTTAGGTGCTAAACCACTAAGTGTCCTTGTTTTCCACTGCATTTTTTTGCTTTTATTCTGGTAAAGTATAATAAAATTCACCATTTGTACCATTTTGAGCATATGATTCAGTGGTATTCATGCTCTCACATTACTGTGTAACCGTCATCCTCACCACCTCCAGAGTCTTTGCATCAACCCAAGGAGAAACTGCACCCATTACACAGCTCCCCACTTCCTGCCACCCTCCCTGCAGCCCCCAGGAACTTCTAATCTGCTTTCTATCTCTATGAGTGAATATATATGCTAAACACATTAATTAGAGTGAAGATATAGGCTAAATACAGCCATAATTCAATAACATGGACTAATCTCAGATTAAAAGTAAAATCAGGACATTTTGTGGCCCAAATGTTTGTGTATTATTAAATACAGATGCAAACAGGAAAGGAGTAGGAAAATATGTCTTTATAGTTGAGTTTTAGCAAGCAATGGTTTTGTTAAAAAAAAGAAAGAAATTCACCAGACTGTAAAAATGGATTAGATAAACTTCAGTGGAACCGTTTTTAAATTTTTTTTTTAAATTCACTCAAACCCATCCTTTTATTTATTTATTTTTTTTACCTGGAACTGCGGCTTCATTTCATTCCATTTCTTCTGCAAATCTGCAGTAGTCTGGAGGCTCCCTCCAAGGTCGAGTGCAGACACAGGCAGAAGTACTTCCTGAAGAAGCTTTAAGTTGTGAGTAGTCTGAAACAAACATTGGATACTTATATGGGTGTTTTCTTTGTCTCCTCCAGCAAATCTGTGATGATCATGCTGGTGATGACATGGAGAGCTTTTGAATTTTTCAGCCTCTGAAACTGCAGCTCCTTTTGAGCTCATGGTGCTAAACCACCACATGCCCTTGTTTTCCATTTTTCTTTTTTGCTTTTATTGTGGTAAATAATAACAAAATGCACCATTTGTACCATTTTGAGCATATAGTTCAGGGGTATTAATGTGTTCAGATTATTGCACCACCATTACCCTCATCCATCTGCAGAGCCTTTGCATCAACCCAACGAGAAACTATACCCATTACACAGCTCCCCACTTGCTGCCACCCTCCCTGCAGCTTCTGTTAACTTCTGTTCTGCTGTCTCTATGAATTTGGCTACAGGCACCTCAAATAAGTGAAACCACACAATATTTATCCTTTGGTTCCTGGTGTATTTTGCTCAACTTATTGTTTTCCAGTTTCTAGCATGTTGTGGCATGTATCAGAATTTCACTTCCTTTTAAGCCTCAGTGACATTGCACACTCTCTCACCTTCTTAAGCTGCTCTTTGAATGTTCCCCATCGCTGCTTCACAGGCTCGCGTGAGGTAGCTTCAAGCTGCCATGCAATTCGAAGGTGGCTGAGTTCTTCCCGTTCAGCCTTCTGGTTTTCCATGATGCTCTCCATAAGGTGAACTTCATTTTTCCCCTTTGCTATCTCGTTCTTTTTGGCCTGTTAAATTAATAATCCATATAATGCTTTTTCTTTCACAAGAAATACAAAAGCAGTGCCTGGATCCCCCGTGGTCCTGTTACTTGCTAGTGTTTGAAAGGCAATTTAATGAGCACCAGGACTGATAAATTTGGGTCAAGATTTTTTTTACTGCATAAATTTAAAAGTGCATTCTGTCTTTTATTTTAACACATTCATTATGCTATGCCAAAATAGTGGCATCCAAGAAAAATGAGGGAACTGAGTCTTCAGGACTTCTGATTTTTGCTTTAAACTCATCCATCATGGATACCCTGTGTTTTCCCCAAAATAAGCTCTAGCCAGAAAATAATCAGCAATGAAAACTAGAGGTCAAAAATGTCAGCCCCAATCAGCCTATCCTCACCTACAAGAATGGCAGCTATAGTCAGAAGGGTTTGGAGAGCTACAGTAGGGTTTCTTGATGTCTAGCTACACAGCAGGATTTAGGACAAGTGATTTTGTGTTTGGCAGACTTAATATTTTGGCCACTCAGAAAAATTAAATAATTTGCCTGCAGTCTAGTTAGTAAACACAGTGCTTATTTTATTTCTGTGTAGGGCATGGAAATTTTTGTCATAATCCAGTCTAAATAAACCACTAAATTACGCATTTTCCATCTATATTTATGCATAGTGACTAGTCTTCTGATGGCCTACTTCCAGATAGGGCTGGAGCTAGATAGCATTTTTGGTGTTCACATCTACAATAAATTGGCACTTTCATGTATTAGAATTAAGATCTAAATCAATTTCTCTGATCTTCATGATTTTTGGATGAACCAAAAATTTTCTCAATCACAAGCTTGAAAATATCAGCCATGGGGCTGGGGATATAGCTCAGTGGCAAAAGCACTTGCCCGGCAAGCGCAAGGTCATGAGTTCAATTCCCAGTACCAAAAAAAGGAGAGAAAATATCAGCCATGGCAACAAAACCAGAGCAGAACCCTCAGTGGCCCAGGCCAGCTGGGCTGCTTCTTTCTCACAAACCAACCAGTTGTCATATTTCATCTGTAGTATTTGTCTGAATGTCTGGGGATCCCACAGATATAAAAGAAATGTTTAACTTTATCAGCAATTTCATATCACAGAATGTCACTAAATCAGTAAAATGATCCTGCGAATTTTGCTTTTTATCAATAAAGAGAAGCTTATTTATCATGTTCATGGTAAAGACTTTGAAATTAAGTGACCATGTTTTGGCATCAAGATAAAAGACTACTAAGATGTAGTAGTAAAATGCACACTATTTCTGGGAACTCTGAATGATAATTTGAAGACTGTAAAGACTCAAGTTTATTCAGTATAATACAAAATATTCCTTGGACTGGGCTCCTGTTACAGATTTTTAAAAATGAAACTTGACTACAATCTTAAACATTTGCAATAAGTAATAAAGGACTTCTGCTTTGGGTAGGAAGGAGAAGGCGGTGATAGAATGGTGCTCCTATTTAGAACAGCTAGCGAAGGTGGCCGTGATGCAGAAAGCGCCGACCTACAGGATGCACACAGCTGCTGTGCCAACCACAAGTAGCTAGGCTGAGATTCCAAGGGGAGGAACCAGAGCATGGTAAGCACATGTGTTTATTCCTATCTTCTCCCCAGGAGCAGTTTCCAATTCTGTGCGTGGACAGGAAGCTGAAGATCAGTGCTTTCCTGCAAGAAGCAATCAGCAGAGCTTTGGGGACATGCTAGGAAGGCTTTGAGCATGTAGATGATCTTCTCCTAAGGATCTTGGTAAAATACTGGGGCTGTACAAGAAAGCGGCCTTAAAAAACCTAAGCAAAGTGCCCCTGGAAAGCAGAATGGAGTTTTCCAGCAGTCTTCCAAGACAGAGATTGCAGTCGCGACCCACCAAGAGCAGAGACCTGAGAGAAAGCTGAGTCCTTAGTGGAAAACTCTGAGAGCCCAAGGTGAACAGCAGTCAGAGCCTTGGAAGGGTGGCACTGCACACTCGCAGTGCCCACCCGGAGAAAGAAGGGCGACCCACTCTGGAAAGAGAGACAGCACCACCTGAAGCCTTTCCAGTTTTTATACCCCTGCCTGGATCTGAACATTTTATGAGCCCTGTCAAAACACAGTACTACATAACCAGAGACGGAGGGAAAAAGTAAACAATAGAAATAACTGCAAGTGTAGATGGTGGAGTTAACTGATACACATTTAAAACCCCTAGGGTAAATATGATTGAAGAATGTACAGAAAAGATAGAAGGAGAATTTCATCCACAATTAAATGTAATTTTTAAAAAAGCCAACTAGAAGCTTTAGAATTGAAAAAAAAAAAAAAACAAAAACTATCCTAAAATGAATTTAGCAAAAACAGGGATAGGCAAAACATGCAGTTCACAAATATTTCAGTTCTTTCTAAGTATAATTTAGAAATATGTATATATAATTGAAAGATAGAAGGAAATACATTGAACCAAGTAAATGTGTAAAAGATACATGGATAGATGTTCTAAACATACCAAATAAAAGATAGCTAGATTTTTCTATAAAGCTTCCACCTTATGTAGGCGTATAGGCTGATTCCTTAGCAAATTTTTCCGATGCTTGAGAGTACTGTCAGTTACATTAGGAGCATTTAATGCATGTTCTGTTCTTGTATAGGTTTAGCAATAATCATCTTCAAACAATAAAAGCTAAAACAAGGAAAATAAAAATGCATATAGCTCAGAGTAGATGAGGATTGTTAAAACCTAACTCCTCTAAATGAATCCAGGCTTCAGAAAGAGATTAATCACATCCCAAGGTACCAAAGAAATTGCAAGTGTCAGTTTCTGAAGATCTACAGAAACAAGAAGATCTAAATAATTAGGAAAGGAGAATGTCCTGACTTTCAAAGGGGAGAACGAATAGATTACACAAGTGACAGATGTATAAATTTCACACTGATACCCAGTGCAATAATTCCATCATTATCAATATTCTATGATCATTTTGGAAAAAAAATGCCTTCATCACTAGAAGTTAGCCTGATGTGTGCCAAATAATATTTATGTAGTTGGTAGGACCTCAGCTATGGAGGCCTTGTATTGAGCAGTTTATTTGAGGAATTTTCCCATTACAGACTTAAGAAAATGATTATGAAGTCACGGTTGAATTAAAGTACTATTGGGAGGATGCATGATTGTTTAAAAAACTGATTCATCAATAGACTCCTTCATAAATTGGAACATCAATCTGCTTTTGGGGGCATTTTTATTAAAGAATTAATTACAGCCACAGAGGCTGGCTTGTCAAATCTATAGAAATAAAACCAGAAGAGAAAGCTAATATAGTAAATAGGTCCAAATTGGTTTAACAAGATGGAAGTGTAGGTGAAGACCAAATGAAATCATGTAAGAATAAAATGCAGACTCACACTTGTATGAAAAACATCAATGACTGACATAATATGGGTGAGACTTGGCTTGGCTGAAGCTGCGGCATAAAGGTTATATGAGTTTTGTTCAATCACAAAATAATATGAAAATAGCAAAATGAAATTATTGCTAAAAATGTTAGCATCATCTTAGATCTCATTAGTAAACAATAATGTCCAGGTTTTTTATACACCACGCTGCAGCTGTACTTGGCTTTCAGGTTACATTTTATAAATGATTTTTTAAAAATGGTAGACAATGCTAGAAATGAAGAGAAGGGTGGAGAGAAAAATTAAGCTGCCTCACAAATGACATAAAGATTTGTATGTGTTTAGCTGTAGAAAAAAAGGCTCATTAGACAAAGCAACTCGTTTCAACGTTGAAAGGAATTTCACATGTCAGAGAAATTAAATATCAATACATTTTTGTCCCTGTGTAGCAAGGGTTAGAAGAGATGGGAAGATAGATTTATTTAAAATTTTAAAATGTACTTAAATAAATAAGATTAATTTAAAATTTAAAAAATAAAGTTTCTAGCAGCTGGCATTTCTTAACAATGAAATAAGCAATTTTATTAGGAAGATACCTGAGGCACTGAAGGCAAGTAGGATCCACCATCTTCAAGAATTCCAGGAAAAAACATTTGCATCAGAGAGGGATGTAAGAATCCTAGTGTATTTCACAGGTATACAACTACCAAGTCTAGGGTACATTTATCAGTGCAATGGAGCATCAAGATAGAAAGATCTGCTAAAGATCTGAACCAGATTCAAAAGAATTTTGAAATTCTTCAAAATAAAGATTCATCCCAAAGGTTGTTTTAGCCACTGAAAATTTTGTAAGGACCTTATTGGATGCTTTCAACATAACTCAGAACTTTGGAATGCACGTCTGAGGACTCTGTAATAATAACAATGTGGCATTGGAATTATAGTCACTGTTTCTTCTTAATAGTTAAATAGTCTTCTCATCGTAAATTGGTAGGAGCTCTACAATCAAGTAAGATACAGATGTTGGGCTTTAGGACTGTTCTAAGTTGAATGAAGCTGAAAGAAGCTTTGGAAAACAGCACTGTTCATTAATAGACATTGAACTTTTTTTTTTTTTCCGGTACCGGGAATCAAACTCATGACCTCCCGCTTGCCAGGCAGGCACTGTGCCACAGAGCTAAATCCCCAGCCTCGACATTGAACTTTTGAATTTATGATTTTGACTTTGATCAGTAATTCTTGCAGAAAGTGCAACTCATTTAATGTTCTCACCATTTTTATTAAATTAAGGAATGCAAGCCCCAGGTCTTGGGCTAAAAAACTCTTCTTTAAAAATAGCTGCCACTGCTTCTCAGCTGAGCCAGACCAATACTTGGCTTTAGCATCGTCCCCTTCTTTCTGAGGGATTTCAGTCTGATAAAATTTCTTTAGGCTCTGAAATTGCTCCTCTGCCTAAAACAGAAGATGATAAATGAACGTTAGGAACTTGTAAAAACATTTTTAAGGATAAAGAGCGCTAGGTTCCAGTAAAAGCACATATAACAATTAAAATGAATTCTTTAAATCATTATGGAATATTGTCACTTTACTGAAAAGACATGACGGTCTACTTGGACTGTGGACAGGACTATCATTGGCTGCTAAATTGAACTGACAAGATTATTACCCATAAGAACCATTTGATGTAGCCACTGTAGCAAATCTAGAAAGACAGAACGTAGAACAGTGCTTGCCTGAGGCTGGGAGTATGAGCACTCAAGCTCTTTGGGGGAGTTGAGGATATACTGAATCTAGAGTGCTGTGCTGGTTCTACAACTCTTATAATATTCAATATAAAATGAATGCTATATACATTACACCTCAATACATTTATGCTATATACATTACACCTCAATAAATCTGTTTTCTTTAAGGAGGTGAGAGTGGGTAACCAGAGTAAATAAATGCTACAGAGAGCTCAAGCACAGGAAAGCTGAATGTGCACCATTTCATTTGTCTGCCACAAGGTCACGCATAGCACATTTTCAACGGCGTAAAGAGATGGCAACTTACAGGGCGAAAAGGGAGTAAACTGAACTGCAGTGGGAGGCAGACTGGGGGGATGAGCAAGCTGGGCCAAGAGTGTCCTCTTCCTGCCCCACATATTTACATGCAAGGGAAGGGAACAGGAGAAGGAGGCAGCCTTGGCAAGAGCAGACTGTTTAGATGGAACCACAGAACAAGAGGGAAGGAAGCAAAGGAAAAGGCAAATTAGAAAATTAGAGGAGGCTGAGGGATTCCAAAGGACGTAGGAGCGAACAGGCTGTGACTGATTGCGGATTAGACGTGGAAAGGAGCAGGAACGTTGCTTTATTTGAGTCAGGGGAAGCGTGAAACAGAAGTCAAGACAATGAGGCTCAGTGGCCCCATTTTTAGGATGTATGAGGTACCATGTCAGCTGAGACTTAGAAATGGAAATGAGTGAGACGCTTGGAAATCACTGCTGAATGGGCACCAGCTAGGGAGCATATGTGGAACCCAGCTGAGGCAGAAACCCATACATCTGCGACAGTGCCAATCAGCACAGTTGTACGATTTGCTGCAGGAGCGTCCGGGAGATTGGAAAGAGGAGCAGAGCAAACAGGGTGTTGGACTGAACTAGTGTTGGGAGTTGGCAAAGTTAGTCCTCGTGGAAGTCAGGGAATAGAGGGGCTGGGCGGTCTAAGGGAAGTGAGTAACCCTGAGCAGGTTAGGCAACTGGCAAGGCAGAGGGTGAGGGAGTACAGCCCGGTAACATTGCCAGGATTAGAAGGATGAATACCTCTGCCAGGTAAGAAAAGAGATTTCGTGAAAGCAGGGAAGCGGAAGGACATACGTTCTTCTGAGAAAGCGCTATGTGCAAAGCTGCGCTCCACCTTAGAGAGGTTCCTGGTCCCAGTGGCCAGAGTGGGCCATGGAAGTAGATGCCTAACATACAGCCAAGTAAGTACATGTTTGGCAGGGAAGATGCAGAAAGCAAGTGTTTATGGTAGTTTCTCTACCATTTCATGTTCTGAATAAAAATGTTCACCCTCAGAGGATCCTATCCATCATAATACTTCTGCAAACCGTGATAGGTTAGGGTCATGAACTAAAAGGAAATCAGAAATCACAGACACCTTGGGAAAGATGTAGAAAAGGGCAAAGCAGGGGCCTGAGATTTCCAGGGACCATACAAGGGCTTCCTCCAGGGGTAAGAACTCTGGACCGAGGAGATGCGTGTAGGTAGGAGGGTAGTGGTGGGAGGTGAGGGTGAGGGTCTTACGAGGGTAGAGGTGAGAAAATAGAAACCGAGCATGCTGCCTGACTTTGGTGCCTTGCCCCCTGAGTGGACCTCGCTGGTTCCCACCAAATCAGCACACATCTGAATTCACATGGGGAGAATGACTGCATTCACACGGGGTTCATTGGGGCCATGGTTAAATGAGGCTTTTGTACCACTGGCAACATCTTCCAGGAACTAACCTTGGAGAGGTAAAAATCCCCAATATATTTCCCCAGGGGAAAATATGAGAGACTAATACCATCATGTCAAAATGAAGCCTCAGAAGAATCTCAGAGAGGTTAACTTGTTAAAAACTATCCAGCAAGCCAGATGAGAGGCTGAATCAATAACCTGTATCTTCCAATTCTTCATAGTTTAAATCAGCGATGGCAAACCTTTAGGAGCTTTCCAGGATACAGACAGCCCATTGTGGCTTGCGTGCCATAGGTTTGCCACCATTTGTTTAAATGAACCATATTAATTGCATAGTAGGCTAAGAAATTCATGATTTAGAAGATGATTTTTTCCCAAATAATTTTGTTCTAGATTTAGGATATTGTAAATATGGATAGATACAATAAACAATATTGAAATACTTTATTTGTGCCTACATCTATACATATATATTTAAATTGTGAAGCAACTTCCTCTTTGAGCATTTGGTGCCTTCAAGAATAAAGGGCCTATAAAAAGTGTGTGTACTGGGTAGAGGACGTGGATATATGCACCAGGGCACAGCTTATGTCCCAGGAGCCCAAAGATGGGCAGAAGCCACCTTGCTGACACAGGTCAGCATGCACACCATACCTCCTCTGATGACTTTAGAAATGCCACATAAGTTTGCAGGACTTGTGACCTGGAACTGATGCTTTGGCCAAGTGTGTTTAATTCTTCCTCCAGCCAATTAGTTTTAAAGGAAAGTGATGCCACTTCATCGGGTTCAAATTCATTTTTCTCTGTCATGATTTTTGCAGCTGCCTCTAATGCATGTGATGCCTCCTACGAAAGGAAAGCACAAGAGGTCAGAAGCTGACACGGGAGTCATGAACGTTCACATTTCATTACCCTCGGCACAGCCATCTATTACAGTTATTAATTGAACTTGTACTGAGAATTTCCTCCATAAAACAAAGGCACAACTTTCTAAATTCCTTAAAAGAAAAGAAAGACACTTTAAAATGGAAACCATCCCAAATCACTGTTTGGCTCTATCAGCTGCGCATCTTTAGAGCATGTTATTTTCTGTGTCACAAATGGAAGAATAGTTGGTACAGGCACTTCTAAAACAAAAATGGAAAGAATATTTTAAGTACGCTCATGTGAAAATTGTTGGAAGAAATTTAACAATAGGTGAAGCAAGTTTAAAACTAAACTTGTCATACGAAACAGCAAATTTATAAAACGTTTATTTTTAGCCTATTAAAAATCAAATATCAATTATTCAATCTTGTTTAAATCTTTATGGGGCAGAATTTTTAAGCATGGGTAGGGAACCTGTTACACCTTGAGCCTAAGCAATCCAAAGAATCAGTGGATTTCACCGCCCAGGCACGCTCCCCTATGTTTTCTTGATGCAATTTCTGGCCTACAGACTCCAATCACTGATTAAATGGATGAGTTGGTATTGTAGGAATTCCATAGATATAGTCATTTGCTGCATAACAACATTTTGGTCAGTGATGGGTTGAGAGTGCGGGGATGGTGGCTCCTGCAGGTTCTGATGGAATGTAAAACTCGCAAAGCCTAGTGGGGTCATAGCCAACACAAGGTCCTGGTGTGGCGCATTACTTATGTGTTTTGATAGTGGTATTTTAAAAACATACTGTAGAGCCAGGGATATAGCTCAGTGGCACAAGCACCTGCCTGGCAAGCGCAAGGTCCTGAGTCTGATTCTCAGTACCAAAACATAAGAAGTAGGGCTGGGGATTTAGCTCAGCGGCAAAGCGCATGCCTGGCAAGCGCAAGGTCGTGAGTTCGGTTCCCAGTACCGGAGAAAAACAAACAAACAAAAAAACATAAGAAATAAAAATGAAAACACACTGTATTGCTAATCACATAAAAGACAGCACGTCATTATATATAATATGTAATATTTGATAATGATAGTAAATGACTATATTCCCAGTTTATGTTTACTATACTATATTTATTGGTATGTTAGAGTGCATTCTTCTACTTAGTGTTAAAAAAAGTTTACTGTAATACAGTGTGCCTGATTTTGCTAGCAACAGACACATACATCTCATATATGCTGCATTTCTCAGTTGCATCAAAAGGTCACATTGATCAGCTGATTTTCCCCGCTAGATTTGTACAAGGACAGACCGTGATATTCCCCGGTGACAAAATCATCTACTAGCACATTTCTCAGAATGTGTCCCCATAATCAAGCAACAGAAGACTGTATAATTGCCATAGGAAGAGCTCTGTAAAATTTCGTGTGAGAACAAGCCAGGAATCAGGCAGAAATGAAAGAAAAGGTTCTCTCTCATTGGAGAAGCGGGGATTGCATTCCTGCTTGCCTTTAATATGCTTCCCAAGTACTCCATTGAGTGAAACTAATTGTAATTTACAAGCCCTGCTTCCTGGTTGCACTCAGAGAAGAGGAGCTGGGGATTTCTTTCCTTGCACTCTCCTCCCCGCTTCTAAAATTTCTAAAAAAAAAAAACAACAAAAAAAAACTGTGTTCCTACACAAACTTTATGTTAACCCTTTACAATAATGAACAAAAAGTACCCCATTTTAAAAAAATTGGTACACCTAGCTTTCTGGTGCAGGTGCCATCTCTGAAAGGGGCTCCTCATGCACAGGGGAGAACACTGACTTGCCCCCAAACCCTGAAGTGGCAGTCAGGCAGCGACTTTGCCACAGGTTTGGAGTAGGAATCACTGAATCTGTGTCCGCAGGAAAAAGGTAGGAAAGACACGGGGAAGGCGCCAGTGTGAGGGGGGCCGTGAATGTCTCTGAAGACTGTGTGTAAGTAAGATCATGTCTTGCAACAGTGCACGTTTTTTTTCTGGTAATTCTCTTTTGTGACTTTACACACAGTCCCAAATAATTTTAGAGAAGTACTCCCTCTGCCTCCTCCAGTGTCCCAAAAAGGAATTGCTCACCTCTTTCAGGAAAAGGAGCCAAAGGAATGTTTAATACCAGGCTATAATGCTTACTTTCAGTGAGTTTACATGTCCATGTAAATATAGATAACATAGACACACATAGCAGTATGAGTTTTTAAGTCATTAGTTGCTACATACTAATACAGATTTGCAACCCTCAGGAGAACTAGAATTAAGTTTTATAGTTGTGGAATATTTTAAATATCATACATATAAAATCATGGCCATAATAATAATTCTTATTTTATTTACCTTGGCTTGGATATCTAGTTCCAGATATTTATTCAGAATCTTCTCCGTTTCAAAAAGGCTGGAACCAACATCCATTGCACTGGAAAGTACTGGACTGATTTTCTGAACTGACATTTCCGCCTTCAGGAATAAAGAATGTATGGCTGTATTAATAATATGTACCTGCACATACAGATGTACATAGGTAAGGAAGATAAATATTGATTTGTATGTTCCCACTATGCTACAAAAATATGTCAATTTTAATACACAATTAGTCTAAAATATTTCAGAGTTTCACATTTTAATAATGCTCCTCTTCATGTGAAGCAATACTAGTAACCCATCAATAGAGGGTATGTATTTAAATATATAATGTTTCTTTTATTAACAGCAATGAGATAAAAGCAATCATCCACATTACCTACGAAGGATGTAAATTACCTACGAAGGATGCTAATACACTTGCTAACACATCAACAAAGATGAATTTATCTGTATATTGAATGGGACAAATTTTAAAGTTGAGATCCAGAGCATAGGTACTGGCTCACAGGAGCTGCTATATTTAGGGCTAAGGGCTTCTGGGAAAGCACCAATCTCTACACACGCCGTTTGATGGGTCAGCTTGGGGATTTGTGATTTGATCTTCAGTACCCATGAATCGATGGATAAAGTGACACTTGAAAGGTTCTGTGCCATGCAAGTGACTTCTTTCATTCCTGTGCTCTATCCAGAGCCAACATTCCCCAAAGTCAAACTGGCTATAAATTAGTAGGAGGACAAGTAGCATGTTTTCCACCACCAGCAAATTAGCTCAAGCTGTAGGGAATGTGGCACCACCACGTCTCCATATTTAGAATCTGCCTGGACCTCGCATCAGAAAAAGGCTTAATTTCCCAAGTTTCTGGATCAGTAATAAATAAAGAGGAAAACTAAATAGAGGCATTGTTGTTTAATATCCTCTTCCATGAAGCCAATCAATTCTACTCAAGCATATGTCTGTATGTCCATTGTATCTGCTGAAAACACCACTGAAAATTTGAGTTAGCCTCTGTGGCATGAGTGTCATTGATATATTACTAGTTTTTGTTATCTATCTGTCTAACCTGCTCACAAGTAATTTTTTCTTTCGTCAAAGTGTAGGTCCCTGTCTCTACTGCTCTTTGAAAACAGGAAATAAGGTGTTTCTATATCAAACCAGTGTATTCACTCAGCTGAGAGGATTTTTCTCATGTATGCCTTTATGCTGAATGAATAAGTCTCTCGTGTTGGTCTGGTTTAATAAAATATAATGACAGCTTATGTCTGCAAAAGATTTTCCATAATCTCAAACCTATTACCTGCAAAAACCCTAAAACCATAACTTTTGGTATCCATCTGTCTGTAATCCTAGTGTTCCACAGTTCCAGGTTAATGGAAACTCATGCACAGTGGGACCTTGCCCAGAACAGTGCAAATCAAGGACCCTATTCTTGTGTGTATGTGCTTCGGGTAACACAGAACTATGGGAGGTGAGGGGTACCTCTGTATTTGTATGTTCAGAGAGGTAGACTGGATTAGATACTTATGTTGGGGTCAGGGATACTTAAGGAGCAATAGTGAATTATGACTGTTTTGTCCAACTGTAGGACCTAACGTGGGACATAGGAGGGACCTAAGGAGATGAGCACCATCCTCCCACCGTACTCACAAACCGCAGTCAGAATACCGTCTCTGATGACTGGACTGAAACTTTACATTTCATTTTATGGAACTACCTTCTTGAGGTAATCCTCCACTGCGGCTGTTAATTGGTGCTTCTTGAAAGCTAATTCCTCGCGCGCTGAACACTGCCTGGTGAGCTGATCCACACGTCTCTGCACGCAACCCATCATCTCCTGGATGCCGCTCACCCGAGAGCTGAAGGGAACAACTACTGTTAGTTTGCTTGTCCCCACCAGAGAAACCCCAGGAACAGAAAACACTTGAGAAAGGATGTGATTTTCAAGACAGTTATGAGTGGGTAAAAGTTATCCAGGACCGTAGAAGTTAAGAGTTACCATTCTGGTATAGGAGAGAGCAAAACCAAATTACGTTCCTTTGTTCTAACTCAGTCAGCCCTAAGGGAAAGGATGAGTTATGGGCTTTTTGCACTAGGTCTAATCTTTTTTCTGGAGGTTTACTTTTCATATTTCTCTGATACATTTTGAGACCCTTATGGCAAAAAGCACAGTATGCTTGACAAGAGTTTTCCTGAGGGTATTATGTAAAAGCTTCATTTATCTAAAGATGCTCTTTAAGTAGAAATGTGAATCAGCCAATTAACAAAGCATTTACTAACCCAATAGGGTAAAATGTTTATATAACACAAAGGTCCTTGTTCTTCATGTTTATGGATGCTTAGGGCTGTATTCATTAGATTAAAACCAAGTTATCACCAACAATTAATTAGCAAATATAGTTGCTCATAAAAAAATCAAGACTCACATTATCATCTTTTTACAAGTGCTATCCTCATGAGGCAAAGCATGTGACCAGAGAGCTCATAAAATGAAAATACCTTTACAATCATGAATGAACTTTGAATTGGACTCTGGTTGCTCTAACCTGAAGATATCTTAACAGTTTTCTAATTCAAAGTGAAGATACCCAGAATGGAAGACAACGAAAGGATACTGTTGATGGAATGAGTGCTTTTAACGGTTAACCTATTTCTTTTTTAAATTAAGTTTATTGGTACATTTTAGACATACACAATGATCATAGTCATCACAGGAAATTTGTACCTGTACATGATATGTCTTGATTCTTTTTCCCCAATCCCCTCCCCTCCCTTCAACCCCTCTTCCCCTCTTTATTTACAAAAGCCTTGTTTCTGTTTTTTTCCTTCCATTCTTTCTCCTTTCCCTTCCTTCCTTCCCCTCTCCCTGCTTGTTCCCCTTCCCACTTGAACATGAAGATGCTGAAATCTTTAATCTCCTATCAGTCATTTCCTTCAGATACTAATAAAGATTAACATGATAACTCTTAAATTTAATTACTCAGAGCTTTAAAAAAATGATCTTGGAACAAGGTACAGATTCCAGTACTTTTACCTCAAGTAAATAATTTATGACTCTGTAAAAATGGCTTTAATTAGTGATGAAATAAGGGCAAAATCTCAAACATCTGAAAGGTGAAGTCACCTCACTAGAATGGCAATGAGGCTGCTGCAGAGGCAAGGCTCACACGGGTGTGTCCCGCGGGTACTGCGGGGTCCAGACCCGTGCAGCCAAGGGAAGGAAGGAAGTCACTGTGAGAAATCGCATTCTTGACATTACACTTACAACAACCAGTTTCCCATTTTAATACTCACAGACAGTGAAGCGTGTAATCAAGACATCATGAAATTTTGCAATTATTCCTAATCCACACATTCTATATGGGCAACGTATTGCTCATTCAAATCATATTTTGACTAGGTTTTAGACTGAGGTACGATATTCTTAAAAGGTATTTTAAGGCCCGGTTTTCCTATACACTATGGATTCCAAGTTCCTATGACATATGGAAATCTGGACTGCGAAATATAACGTGAATAAGGGATACTGTGGAAAGACGGTACAGAGGACAGAGCTTGTGAAAGGAAACTGGCAACCATGAGAAAAAGAAAGACAGCTGGAGATGGTGGGAGAACGATCAATACAAATTCAGGAAGGTAAAATAGAGCTTGAAAAGGTACAACAACCAAGGAGGAAGACGTTCACTCCATCTCTGTGTTAGCTATGTCCCTCACCCCAAAAGCACCCTGTGTCCCGCAGCAGTCAGATGTGATTTTACCAGCCATACATGGGGGTAGGAGTGGGGGAGCCCAAGAAGACAGCTGGGAGGTACCCACAGACTTTGAGTAGACTGCTCCAGTCCTCAGCGGCCAGCTCCAGCCAAGCCTCTAGGTTCTTGCCGATGTCGCTCAATTTACTCTTTAGCCTGCTCCAAAGAATGTGGTTGTCGGCCAGCTGTGGGGCTTCTCTGTAAGTCCCACTCATCATGTTTCTGGTCCCAGGGTTCAGACGTACTCTACGACTCAAACTCGAACTTGCTCTAGTATCCCCTCTCGCTCCTAAGTTTTCCACGTGAATCCCAACTTTGTGCTGATGATGCTCCAGTACTCTAACTCAACACTCACTGAACCCAGACACCTCTTTGCCCATTCAAATTCAAAATAAACTCTCTCACCTCTAAAATTATGTCAGCTAACTGTGTAGCACCATGGGAAATATGGATTACAGACTCACGCTTCTTATAGCTTTGTATAAAGTCTTAAACGCTATTTAATAAATTCTTGTAACAAATATATTGCTTTATTTTAGGGGTTTTTTGTTTGTTTCTTTTGAGATAGGGTCACGTTATGTGGTCCAGGCTCGCCTTGAACCTACCAAATAGTTCAGGCTGGCCTTGAACTTTCAGCCATCCTCCTGCCTCAGCTGAGATTGCATGTATGTGCCGCCATGCCCGGGTTCATATCACTTTATCAAGTGCACTGCATTGCATCACTTAATAGAATGCTTAAGGTAGCTTTTTGAAGTATTGAAAGGGTGTCAGTGAAAATGATTTGCCTTAGAGTAAAATGATTTGCCTTAGAGATATCTAATAGGAAGTAGGAAAGGCCTGATCTAAAGTCAGGTCTCTTTCATGCCCAAATGTATGTACTTATTATGGTTAGTAATTGTTTATTTAATGATTCCTTTAAAATCTTAATTTCAGAAAATTTAAGGAAATACAGATAACCTTAGTTTAGATTTTATCATAAGATATGATAACTGCAACTAATGATAATTGAGTTTTTATTGCGACCAAACACCATTCTCAATGTTTTAAGCAGTTTCCTGTGATTCTCACCATAATTCTGCAAGGTAGGCACAATCATTACCCCATTTTGCAGATGAGAAGATGAAGGAACCGAAAGGCTCAGCCACTTGCTCGGTGAGGATACGGCCAGAATTAGAACCTATACATTTAACCTCAAAGTCCATGCACATTACGATTTTAGAGTAGTTTTTTTTTTTTTTTTTTTCCTTCATGGAAAAATGTAAAATAAAGTTCCATAACAAAGTAATGAGAATAAAAATAGTTAATGCATTGCCTGTTGTTATCTTTAAAGTAGGTACTCAGAGTACAAGATATGGGCATAAAAATTTACCAAACAATATTAGCACAAACCTTTCCTGTCAATAAAATAAGAGAAACTACTAGTATAACTATCTTGTTGGTTTTTTTTTCCATTTTTCTTCCTTCCTTTCTCCTACCTTAGTTCCTTTTTCCTTGTGAACAATTTCTTCCCATTTCACAATGTCTATTGTACATTTTGGTCCTTATTTACACTTTCAGTT